TATCTTAAACACAGTTGCAATTTTTTTATTGATGCACCTGAAATGTGCTTAACGTAATAGCTTTTAATAGATTTAACAACATGATATTTTTATTGTTCCCATTTGCATTATTTCCTTGCATTATTTATACTGTAAAGTTGAACGAAATTCTTTAAATACGAGAACAATATGCAGCTATAGTATAGTCTCAATATAAATGAAGATAACTGTATGAATTTAGCAATAAATTATTTAAATAATGCGCGTTTTTTCATATTGGCGTCGCTGTTTTGTTTTAAATTTTTCGCAACATGCAACAGCTAGGGTCTTTCAAATAGAACCTGTTAATATTTAGTATGTTTCAGCCTTACATTAGTAAACTTTACAAGTTGTAAGTTAAACGCACACCGGATATGGCGGACAAAACAAATCGTCCAAAAAGTGACGATGTGTATTGGTCTAAAATAGGTAATTTACACAGTATATTGATAGAGATATATTGTAAACAACTTCATTAACATTTTATCTATGTATGCTTGCATATAATGTAATGACAAAGTCTGCTTTCATCAAGAAAACACTCCTGGAATTCTTATTTTCCTCCTAAAATTCACGTTCAGGCTTGTTGCTAAATAGAATTTGAAAATACTTTGGTAATTGGTAATGATTGCAACCACAGATATACGTCAGTGCTTAACATATATGTGTGTTTTTTGAAGGCCAAATGTAAATGACTCACAGCTAGAACTTTTGGCTAGGCTAGCAGTACAGACAGGTAGATGGGTCTGGTTTCCATACTGTATATCTATATGCAGCTTTAAACATTGTATTTTTAATTTCTTTCATCTGTTGGGGTATTAAAGATTCAGATCAGACTTGTGAAACCTTATCAGAATAACACACATTTGTTTAACAACGCTGTAAATTGCAAATACGCGTATCACTATAAAATTCTTGTGCAATTTTCTTTCACACTTAGAGTCACACATTAAAATTGTCTGTCCGTCCTTACGCATTAAGCTTGACAGAGTTTCACTGGCCAAACTTCTAGCCTGATTTCAACAAAACTTCACAGTCTGAATGATAAGTACCATACCTTCTTTTGGGAGACATATGTTTTTGTGACAAACAACTCGACTAGTTTCCATTATTATACATGGAATAAGATGTTGAGGCGGCTCAACCATAGTTAGAATGTTTCATGAGAAAAAACTGAGTATTTGTTTTGTAAAGTAAAACTGCATGAATTTCTGAATGTTCTTACACCCTGTTTCAAAAATTTTGATGTTTTTGTATAGAAAAAGCATTTCATGCACATCTTAATTTTTGGGGAAAACTTACACGTTATATTTGCAAAAGGGGAAGAAAAAAAATTGATGTAAATTCAATTGTTGGGGAAAACTGCATCATTTTAAAGATTTTTTCTTTGGGAACGCATCCCTATAATGGCCCCTGCTATTAAAGGAAAAGAAAAGTCCTGTCATGTATGTAAATTTAGATTGAATGGGGGTGGGGATCTACATATTATCCCATGAAAAAAAAAAAATACAACAAATATTAGGAAAGTTATGGAAGAAAATACTTCTGTTTTTGTTTTCTGCCCCACACAGATCACAAAAAGCCACATGTTACAAATTACATATATATATATATATTTTGACAGGTATGACTTCAAGTGAAGATGATGCATATATACCAGGTAATTTTCTTTGATATAAAAATTCATATCTGTATTACAAGAGTTACCTAGTCTACTACTAATAATAATGTAGTAATCTTAAAAAAATAATATATTTTTAAAATACAAATATACGTATGTCTTAATTGTTGGTTTAATAAAATGCAAAGTATATTTTATATTATCTTTGTGCCACAAGTTGTAAAAAATGTTCAGCCCGATTAGGATTTTGAAAAGCCAGTCTGGTCGAATCCTGGCATTATCATTCAACAGCCCTCCCTACTGGGTTAACTGACTTGTTTCTGCCAGCTAGCTTACGGAACGTCGTTTGGTTAGACTACTCAGGTGCCCATTTGTGCCTAAAATAAGGTGGCACCTGATGTCTTCCTCCACCAGTAAAGCTGGAAAGTCTTTATACGTCATATACTGTGTTGGGGCGATGTAAAACCCAATACAAAAATAAAATTTACTTTTTACTCTTTTTTTCACTCAGGGTTATCTGCTCCTGGTAATAAAAGACCAGGTCGTGTTAAAGGGAGGAAACCAAAAGAGGTTCACGCCAAGGTGCCAATTGAACAGCCTGTAATTGAGAATATCAGACCCGACTTCTCACACAGTGATATACCTCCTTCAGGTTACATGATGTTATTTGTTTAAAACTTGAAATTCTAATTTTATTTAAGGTCTATACTATGCTCAAATGTGATTTTAGAAAATATTTTTAATTGCTATACAGTTTCTTGTAAATATATATCAAATAAACATGTTTTGACTTCTTGAAGTAGATATGTATAATGTATTGTATAAAACTTAACACACTATAGTTTAGCACAATATGAATGATATAGTGTTTAAAAAATTGGAGGTATTTTTATAAAGACCAACTTTGCTTGACCTGTAATAGTTAACACAGCTTTTGATAAATAATTAAATTCATCCTTTTATTTAAATTAGACTTATAAAGGAAAACATGTTAATATCTTTACTTATCGTTTAAAACTGCATGTAGCCAAGAGCTTAGATATTTGTCATGTAATGCCTAGTAAATCTCTACTAAAATAATATCAATCATGGTCCCTTTTGCCAAAAAATGGAAATCCCCCCGTGTGACCTTTTGACCTTTTGCTTGGAAAATTGATATCTTTTTCTTGCAATGGGTCTAATGTGAACATGAGCAATATAGGGCTTTCATTGCCCTAGTGTGCAGATAAATACATGGGTACAAGTTTTCAGGCATCTACCTGAAATTCAGATTTTTTATACTGTTAAAAACACTCTTTTACTAATATAATAAACCAATTCAGAGATTTTGAACTTGCACCCATAGATTGCGTGAAAATCAAGATGACTGTTTCTTCTTATATGGAATAATTCTTATAGCATTTAATTTTAGCATTACACAACATTAAATGATATAATGTATATATATAAACAGGTAGAGTAAAGAAGCCATTAAAGGGGAACCTGAAGACGGGCAGCAGTTTTACGTCTCGGGAGAAAAGCAAGTTGTCAGATGGCGATGATAGTGGCATGTCAACAACATTTGAGGTGAACCTTTCAATAACCCTTATAAGTTTACCTGCTGAAATTTTGTAAAGAGTTTGCTTTGGTTTTATTTAGGAACAGACCATTTAAATATTAATGGATTTCAATATCAAAATACAAAATTAAGGCTACCAACAGTATTAAACCTGATCAGATCACACAGTTACATAAGACTACTTGCTGTATTAACTTGAAGAACACATAAATGTAGAACATTAGATAAATTTGTGTTCTCAATTTTTCACATAATTTCTTATCCAAAGAGTGTATTTTCTTAATTCCACTATGTATGAATTTGCGTCATCATCATGTTCATAGATATATTTATAGATATTCGCAATATTGGATAATTATATCAATTCACAGTAAACTTTGAGTTTACAAGGAATTTGATTTATGGATATTGACAAATAAAATGAATCCAACGCAAATTAAGCCATTTCTTCAGCACTATAATACCACATTGTAACCGTACACATAACAGTATGAAATTCCATCTAGTTTATTTAATTGGATTTGATTACATGTATTGCAGAGTTTTGCTGAGAAAAGTATTCGTAGATTACAGAAAGCTTCCTTAAAAGATTTACGCCCTGAGGACAAACAGAGAGTGGCAAACCTTATCAAGGAGCTGGCCAGGTAAGGATTAACTGAATATCAATTGTACAGTTAAGGTAGCCTTACTGTAATGCTTATCAGCCAAACAAAGTTTAACATTGGCCAATATCGTAATAAATCGGTCATTTCAAGAATGTTATATTTCACAATCCGGTATTCAATAATGTTTAATCATTTATATCGGAATTCGGTACAAAGCGATAAGGTTTAGTGATTGTAAATAATCTAATGCCCAAGATTTTGAAAAACAATGTTATGGAAATTGTACGATTTTGGCCGATGTTAGAATTTTGGGCAGGAAAGCATTACAGCAAGACATACTCATTTTTTCATTGTCCAGTTGGACTGAATTGAATATCAACTGTTATAACAGTGATTGACCAACAGTTTATACTGGAAAATATTTAAGAGTGATCTGCCTAAAATATAAAAATACTGCCTCACTCTTTCTATAAATTAAATATTACAGGAAAATTCTGATGGATATTAACAGAAATTTCCTATCTTTACAGAAATTTCAATCGGCCACATGAGTTATTTAATGTAAATTATAAAATTGAAAGGAATTATGGCAAAATGTAAACTTATTTTGACTTTCACCTATTTACTCACTATATATCCTTAAATGGGCATAATGTCGATTTACACAATAATAAAGTTATCAAATTTAGGAATTTATTGTATTGGACACTACTCTGGCTAATAAAGGAAATGTTTTATTGAAGGTGAACACTATTTCAGATAATATAGCCTAATAAGAAAATTTTTATTACATCGGACACTACTCTGCCAACATAGGAAATATCTTACTGTATTGGACACTGTTCCGACTAATATAGGAAACATTTCTTTGTCATTGGACGCTACTTTGTCTAATTACGGGTAATGCTATATAGTCACATGGTACGATGTAAAAGCAGTGATATAAAAAAAATGTAAAGAATAACAATTTTGATTGGTATTTATATAAAGGAATGTGCTAAAATGGTATTTTAACTACTGTAGTGACAATAGATGAAATGTTTAAAAAAATCAATGATACTTTTGTAATGTAGGGTTGGTGATGAGAAGGAACAAGTTGTAAAAGAGTTACATGGTGAAAGAGAACAGTATGAGCGACAGTTGATGGTAATGGTGGAACAGCAAGAGAAAATATTACAGGAAAGAGAAGGTAAGATATTAATCCCTGTGTATTCTGGGAAATTTGTTGTCTGCTTGAAATGTCATCTGGAATACAAGACTGTTGATGATGATGATGTTTGTTTTACTTGAACAGCGATATTTTTATTTATCTCTAATGCCAATCTGTAAAGGAAGGTTTGATTGCATGGCTAAAAATAATTTTTCTCGGGTATTTCGAATCACAATGAAGGCAAAACAAATATGGTTGCAGTCAGATCATCATGCAAGAAATTACTTTAAGTAGATATGAACTTAAGTCAGATTGTGTACTTTGTGTTTTTCAGACATTCAAGAAAAGTTGTTTAATTGCCAGAAGTTGCTTACAGAGTACCAAGCTCAGTTGTTAAACAAACAAGATAGGCTGAACTCCTCCATCCATGATATTAAAGAGGTTTGTGCTAATACGTTTTTGCTGGCCACTGGGTCACAGTGTATTTGAATTTAATGTCACTTGTCATGGGTTTACAAAACTCCAAAACGCTGGGCAGTTAAGAGATGGAAATGAATTTTGAGTTTTTACTCTAAGAAATGGTAGGATATATGGTATAATACATGATATGATTTATAGCAGGATATATGATATATGGTAGGATATTTGGTATGAAACATGGTAGGATATATGGTATGAAGTATGTCAGTATATATGATATATAGTAGGATGTATGATATAATACATGATATGATATATAGTAGGATATATGATATATGGTATGAAATAGGGTAGGATATATGGTATATAGTAGGATATATGATATATGGTAGGATATATGGTATATAGTAGAATATATGGTGTGAAATATGGTAGGATATATGATATATAGTAGAATATATGGTGTGAAATATGGTAGGATATATGGTATATAGAAGGATATATGATGTGAAATATGGTATGATATATAGTACAATGTATGGTGTGAAATATGGTAGGATATATGATATATAGTAGAATATATGGTGTGAAATATGGTAGGATATATGATATATAGTAGAATATATGGTGTGAAATATGGTAGGATATATGGTATATAGAAGGATATATGATGTGAAATATGGTATAATATATAGTACAATATATGGTGTGAAATATGGTAGGATATATGGTATATAGTAGAATATATGGTGTGAAATATGGTAGGATATATGATATATAGTAGAATATATGGTGTGAAATATGGTAGGATATATGGTATATAAAAGGATATATGATGTGAAATATGGTAGGATATATGATATATAGTAGAATATATGCTGTGAAATATGGTAGGATATATGGTATATAGTAGAATATATGGTGTGAAATATGGTAGGATATATGGTATATAGTAGGATATATGATGTGAAATATAGTAGGATATATGATATATGGTGTGAAATATGGTAGGATATATGGTATGAAATATGGTAGTATATATGATATATTGTATGATATATGATACATGTTCGGATATATGGTATATGGTATGATATTTGGTATGAACTATGGTAGTATATATGGTATGAAATATTGTAAGATGTAATTATGATATATGGTAAGATATATGATATATACTAGGATATATGATATAAAGTAAGATATATGGTCTGAAATATGGTATGATATATGGTAAGATATATGATATATAGTAGGATATATGAAATGAAATATGATATGATATATGGTTTGAAATATTTCTTAAATAGTGATACCAACTGTTAAGTAGAAAATAATAATGTCTTGAAAAGGTCTTAAAATTGTTTTATATTCACTTAAAATGGATGAAGTTGCAGATTCCTATTCTTCAGGCTATTGGCACCACAAAATCTGAAGCTATTCCACCTAAACCAAAAGTCACTGTTACCTCCTCCATACCTGTAACCACGGCAATAGATTCTGTACCAATTAGTAACCCAGCAGGGGTTATTGAAGTTTGTCCGCCCGTGTATGACCTATCAGAGATGGATGAACGCAGCTTGACTCCCGTACTCCTTAATCGGATCCCATCCCCAATTAATAAACAGGTTTACTGTTGCCACTAACTTGTTGTTTGGTTACCAGCTAACTTGAATTCACTAACATTTTGGTTACTGTTGACAGGAATGCAACTGCGGTTTCAAATTCTACAAGGCTTGATATTTTGAATTCACTAACACATTGTTACTATTGCATTAGTACAACTGCAGTTTTAAATTCTACAAAGGTGCTCTTTAAAGTTTGGATTTTGGGGAAAAAACTTTTAGCGAGTGGGTTAGAATATAGAGAGGGTCTAGATTTCTTTAGCTTATCTTGTAATTTTGTAATACTTACTTATATTAATGTTTTCAATATTCTTAAAAAATAAGTATTGATTATCAAGTTACATGCAGTTAAAAGAAAGGTGAATGGTTCTTCTTTGTGTAAAGTTAAAGCCCTCTGGAAGTCCATGGCTGATGTTAAGGCTGTTATTACTTAGAATAACCTTCTTTCACTACTTTGAGCTTGAGTCCAAGCAGAGATTTCGGATTCTTTCATGTGAGGAAACTAGCTAGTTAGCTTAAGGAATGTTGGTGTTCCACTCAGGTGCTGGCTTGTACCTGACAATTTTGCACAAAAGGGCATCTGATATCATCTTCCGCCGACCAAACTAGAATGTGGCCATGAATTACACTGCCCAAGAACCAAGAAACTGTAAAGATATTGAACTAAAACAAATATCAATCAATAACAAATAGATTTGTTTGTGCTAATATCATTAATTGATTTGAAAACTAATATGTTCTCGCTTAACCATAATATTTCGTAACAGTGTTTTTATGTGTGTTTTATTTTACCCATGATTAGGTACTAAGCATCTTTACATTTTTTGGAGAAATTGTGTGACATTTAATAGTAGTAAATATTGCAAGATCCTGTCATTTGATTTACATTTTAACCAGGTTTTCCGAAGGAAAAAACTGGTTATTAGATTGAGGTATGTCGGCGGGCAGGCGGGCGTATGGGCGGACGGGGGGGGCGTAAACAATTTCTTCTGTGTGCAACTCCTCTTACATTTTTCAACGGATTTTGACAAAACTTTCACAGAAGCTTTGTCATCAAGTGACCTGGCGCATATTGTCGGGGTTTTGTGATTGGATAATATTTGACCTAATTATGGCCCTTTGTTTTTTTTCCCAATATAGGATATATAGTGAACAATTTTCTGTGCGCAACTCCTCCTACATTTCTCAACGGAATTTGACCAAACTTTCACAGAGGCTTTGTCATCAAGTGTCTTGGGGCATATTGTCAGGGTTTTGTGATTGTATAATATTTGACCTTATTATGGCCCTTTGTTTTTTTTCCTTATACAGATTATATAGTGAACAATTTTTACCATGCGCAACTTCTCCTACATTTCTCAACAGATTTTGACCAAACTTTCACAGAAGCTTTTTTATCAAATGCCTTGGCGCACATTATCGGGGTTTTGTGATTGGATAATATTTGACCTAATTATGGCCCTTTGTTTTTTTTCCTTATACAGAATATATAGTGAAAAAATTCTTCTGTGCTGAACTCCTACATTTCTCAACAGATTTTGTTTAAACTTTCACAGTAGCTTTGTCATCCAGTGCCCTGGCGCATATTGTCGGGGTTTTGTGATTGAATAATTTTTTTTATTTAATTATGGCCCTTTGTTTTTTTTTCATATACAGAATATATTGTGAACACTTCTTCTGTGGCAATTCCTCCTACATTATTCATGTTTTACATTGCACATAGTTACATTGTTTGTTGCTTGTATTTGTATTTCAAATACAACATATTTATCTACAATGGTGATAATTGAAAACCTGGTTTCATGGCATTGCCATGTTTCTTGTTTATAAGTATTTGTCCAATTACATGTATTTGGGACTTTTTACATTTATTTGATGCTGTATTGGATGTCATGAAAATGAGAGTTTGTGAATAGCAACCAATAGGTTTTTGAGTTTAAATTAAATGAAAATCTCATTAAATGTCATGTACATCCAAATAATTATTTATCAAAACAATCTGAACTTTTAATTAGGAATTTATTAATAAAACTTTATTTTAATATTTTACATATAATTTTTTATACTTTTATGTATTTAGGAATGATAAAAATCATATTGTTCAAAGATGTGCTTTTATATTTCTAAAAAAAGCAAACTCAACTGATAATATTTTTCTACATTAAAATAGGATTATCCAGGAGCTGGGAGGCAGTCCAGGTCTAGGGAACCAGTCAACAGACATCTTACCAATCGAAACGTTGTTGATGATCATGTGACCAATCAGGAATCAGCAGACGAATCTGTGTCAGATTTGTTGTTAAATCCTATGGATACTGTGAAAAGACCTTACACTTCTTTGATTGACAAAGAAATTGCCAGAGAAAGGTCATTAAGTCGAGGGTCAAGGGCATCAGACTATTCAAGGTCACGCAGTGTTTCACCTTCAGAAGGAAGACCAAAATTTGCCTACCCTCAGAAGCTGACGGGTCCATTGCAAGAACCTTTAGCTTCAAGCACTCAAAAATCTATGGAAATCAGAGCTTTGAATTATGAAAATGATAGTATAAGGTCAAAGTCATCATTGAAAAATCAAGAATTAGGGTCAAAAGGTCATCAGTATTCAAAAGGAGGTTACATTAGGGATCAATCACCAGCAAGTTCGGACAGTGCTAAAAATAGAGTTGTATTCAATGGGAAGGATGAATATGATGATGATGCCGAAAAACATTCGCCAAACATTAAATCACCCACTAAAGCATTCAGTGACCCAGAATATGGTAAATATTACAAAAAGTTATCGCCTGGTGGAAGGAAACGCGAACTGTTAAAACAGCGTCAGGCTTTGCTTGACGAGCAAGAGAGATTAAGATTAGTGCTGGAAAAACAGGAACTTCAGTTACAAACGCGGAAATACGAGTACGATAAACGGAAAGAGCTCCAAGAGCAGAGAATGAAATTCTATAAAGAAGGTGGAAAATTTCCTGCCTTGAAACTAGAATTTGATAACGGAAGTGAAAGAGGAGGAAATATGGATGATGAGGATGATGATGACGACAGAGTCGTAGGAAAGGCATCAGGGAAAGGACTGGTCGGGAGGGATCAGGCATCAGAAGTAGAGATGTACAGTCCAAGGAATGAAATTAATATAGGTAGGGACGTCGAATTATTTCCGTTGGTTATTATATTAGTAGATCTTTGTTAAATATGTTGTCTTAGATCACGTAGTTACAGTAATGTCATCACAAATTCACAATTTCACTGCATATTTTTATATAGGTTTCATTTTCACATCTAGTTACTGCATTGTAAAAACTTTTGACGGGATGCTAATAATTTCTTTTGTTAAAAATGTTGAAAGCTGTATTAAATATATTTAACTTGTTTTAAGTTATTAGAAGGACAAGAAGCATCATGTCAAAGTCAGGTTGTCATGGTAACTTATTTTTTATAACTCATTGCATAAAACAATACTATTTCTAGCTTGTGATTAATATTATCCATTAGACCTATGTCTTTTATACAAATTAGAACTGAAGTTAAGAGAGAAACAGGCCCCGTGTTCACAAAGATTTTAGGATCAGGATCAAGATCAAGATCAAATTTAAAAACTCTCATATTCTTCATTGTTTACCCTCATAGATTAAATATCTAATATTAATTTGATAAAACTGGACTTGAAATAGCAAGTTTATGACATTTTAGAATAAATTTATTGTTATTTTTGCAAGATACGGGCATTTTACAGTTGATCCAAATATATTGATCCTGATCCTAAAATTGATCCTTATTTTGATCCGAATATTTTTGTATTTGTTTTGTTATATGTTGATTTTATCCCAAAATAGTTTGGTTTCTATGCAGTACAGCAGTTTTTTACATTTTGAACATTTACAATTTAATTCAACGAAACATAATTAATCTTAGTAACATTAAACAATGAAAATAAAATCAGGATCACTTGATCCTGATCCTGATCTTTTCTTAGTGAACACGGGGCCAGGGGTTTCATAATCTCATTACCTGTTCTAAATGGACTGGACACTTCTGTTTTGACTTTTCCTTATTAAAAACATACTTATTTAAGCTTGATAGCAAAACAAGTTCTTGCAAATTATATTAATCACTTACGAATCCATTTCCTGGAACCAACCAGTACTGGTGTCATATGAAGAAACATGGTTGTCACCTGATTAGGGCTCAAACCCATCATGATTCCTGGGTTGAGAGGCAGATACCTTAACCATTAGGCCATCGCTTCCCTCCATTGAAATTAGAAAAAGAATAAGCATTAAACTAGGTTAATCACAATACTTAGGAAAAGATTGATTATTGTACTTAGGAAAATGTTTATCATTGTACTTAGGAAAAGGTTTATCACTTTAGGTTTTACCAGTGTAAGGGTTAAATCATTGGAGAAGCTGAGGCCATTTTATTCCAGTACTAGGTCATAATGAAACCCCTATCTTTCTATTGTGAACAATGCAGTTATAACAATCATGGTATGCATTTGCTTGTATTCTGACGTCACAAATTCTTCAAAATTAAAGTCTGAAGCTTGTTGAATGCAGAAAATTAAAGATTGAAATGTCTCCAAAAAAAAGCCTATTGAATGCAGAATGTGCATAACTTTTGAGAAACTATTTTTCTTTTAGACATGAACTTTTATTTGAATTACAAATATTACATGCATGTACATAATTGTCAACAATTTTTGCATTTTCTTTTGTTGGTTTTTTAGCGTACGGATATGTTGGTATGCCATTTTCATTCATATTGATATGCTGTTACGTTTTGTGTTGTTTGCGGATATTTGCATGTTCTAGCATGCATTAGGAATTTTGTGTCCAAGGGAAATAATCTATATGTTATTACCAAGACCTTTAATTCAATTTCTTTTTTTCACCTGTTTACCTGCCTTTATCTGGCAAAAGCAGGAGACCCTTAATATTATCCTATTTAAATTTAATTTTTGTAAAATAAAACATATTTTGATTAACAACATGAGTATTGTCACCCTGTACTGTTTCTCCAAAATAACATAATTACATGTATGTGATACATATAGGTGAGTTTCCAATGTAAATATCTTTAATTTGATATACAATGTAGTTCCTTTTTGTATTTCTATTCAAGTTGTCATTGTTAATTGATATATGTAGAACTTAATGATCTATTTGTTTTATGCAGAATTTGTTTTAGTTTGATTGTGTAGGAAGTTATAAGCTTTCTTTAATGTACCATTCATGTAACCAATTAGCATTGAGTCTCTTGCATAAGAAAATAAGTGCTTACACCCCTGAAGGGGTTTTTCAACCCAAGCGACCTTTGATCCTAGATAAGTAAGATAACAAGTCTGATGTGTTAACTACTCATCCATGCCCCAACTAGTAATAATTACATGTATTTATATCAGTGTAACTATGTAAGGCCGAAGCTTACTTTGTAATATCTGTAATCTTGAGCATTTTTGAAATTCAGCCGTTTAAAAAAAAATTCATTGTAATTCAGCGATTTGTAAAAAAAATCATTGTAATTCAGCCATTTGTAAAAATAATCATAATAATTCAGCCATTTGTAAAAAAAAATCCTGTTTGAAATTGAGCTATTTGTAAAATCAGGATTTTTGTAACATAGTTTCAGTTCTGCATAAAATTATGGCATTTGGTTGGTTTGCGATACTAAAAACTTCACAATTTTTTTTTAATGATTGGAGCCAAGACAAGTACATTTTTTATCTTATTGTCAAATTCAATTTTATTAAATACAAAACATTAAAGATTTAAGCCTTATGGTAGATAAATGTTTTAAATCTTATACATGAATTATGTTTTGATCTTATTTATATACATTTCATTTTGCCATTTTAGATGATGAAGTTCAGGTGAAGAGTAGGGTATCAATGGGAACATCTCCTATAGCAACACCTCCACGTAGCAACAAGGTTAACACAGGAACGTCACCAGCAAGATCAGTCGACACAGCAGATTCAGACGTCCCTCGACTGGTTGACGTGGCTACAAGTATATCATACAGGTACCGTATTCCCCTCCTCCTTTTTCAACTTTTTTGCTAAAAATACATTTCGTATCTCCTTTACAGAATTGTTTTGTAGGCAGTTTAAATAGGTTCTTATAAAAGTAATGCATGTCTCTCAGTGTAATAGTGCATATTAGAAACCTGAGAACTGAAGTAATACCTGTGCTTGGAGCTCTGCATTATTTCTCAGAGAGCCATTCATCATTGATTGCGGCCAGGGGAGAGAACTAGAAAATTATGTTTTCTTAAGATTAGATTACTCGCCCCTGAGAAATATTGCCAAAAAATATTGACCGGGTGATATTCATTTTCAGGATGATACATTGAGACAACACATTGTGATGTTATGTTAGACTATATAGTAAAAAGTTTACATGAGGTATATTAATAATAATTAATATCAGCTAGTGCAGATTATGATCATACAGCACATAAGTGCTGTATGATCATAATCTGTGCTGGTCGTCTTGTCGACAGGGGGCAAAGTGTCAAAAGTACAAAATACTGTTTAGATTTTGTTGACCAACTCTTTAAATAGACATCCACTTAATTTGAATTATGAAATTTATAAAAGATTTTTTATTTGAATCATTTCAAGGACTCCGTTAAAAGATGCCAGTAATCATTTACAAGGTAATCTGCCACTGGGATGTAATCGGCAGAGGTCAAGTCCATTAGGTAAACAGTGGCGGGAAATGGAGCCTGAGGTCACTGTCAGAAAACCCGGGTAAGTTGTAGTACTACCATTGATCAGGGGAATAATTAAATAACTCGCACTTGAAACCACCGTTTATCCCTGCATGATCATAAAAGGTGACTAAATGGGTTTGAATGACTGGAGTCTATGCATCTCTTAGTTTATAACACCAGAGCCAGAGGTTAACCAAAATCATTTTTCCTGTTACGGTGCCATATGACCTAAATTGTGTTGGTACATTGTAAAACCAAACAAAAGAAATCCTTATATTGATTAATTCTGCATAGTTTAAGGGATTTTGATGTGAAAATACAAAAATTGAGCTACAAACAGTCTGATAAAACTGTACATATATGCCAATTGGCCTGGCTCTAAAATGATCACTTCCAGTTCAAGTCTTATAAAGGGTAATCTGTGTCAAGCAGACCAATGACAAACTTACACTACCTAAACAATGATTTTTGTAGGGAAGTCATGGTTTAATGTTTTGTGATTTTGCAAGTTGATTAAATGATGCTAAGTTTTGGGAATAATGATTAATGCTGATTTTATTAATAATACTAGTACTTTGTCTATATATGTGAATGTAATATAGCGTGATAACTAAAATTTTATGAGAATAACATTTTCCACTTCATTCATTTTATAGTATGAGGTTGAAGCTAAATCTAATCTGTATAGGAAGATAAGTGGTTCTCTTCAGTTCATTGTTGTACTTGAAGTTGATTTCCTTGAACATTAAAAGCCTGAAAATCACCATGTGACCTTAACAGCATTGCTGTCACTTAAAAGCTAACCAATTCATAAGATAAAGAAATATAGCAAAATATGCAGAGTTACATGTATATGAAACAAGGCTCTAAGAAAGGGTAGCATTTGTAAAGACCCCTGTATATATATATTTTCAGTGAGAAGACATTGAATGTACTGGAGATTGTAAACTCTATGGACGAGGAGCCACCTTTAACTTCTAGCTATGACGACCTTGAGAACAGACCAAATAAACTCTTTACACCCAATAAATATATCACTCATGGCAAAGGTAAACCTTGTTCTTTTACTTTAACTTTTGCCACTCTAAATATAATAAATGGACTTGCCCATCATTCAATCTGGACAAAACATTTTATCATATTTAGGGAAAATTTCAAAAACATTGCAGGCCATGATCAGATAACATGGATTGTGTCCATCTGTCACAAAACTTGTCCGGACAACACTTCAAAAACTACTGGTGCAGTTTCAACCAATCTTTACAGGAATGATCAGTACTAAGTAAAGTTGTGCTTATCATCAGCATTTTATGGTTTAATGATTTTTGCCAATTACCTCTCAATGCAACTGCTGATTGGCTATCATTAGGCGATATGTGATCACTGATCCCTCTTGTTATACTGTTATGTAAATATTAGGAATATACGTGTCATCTTCGTTTTTGTATATTTATTTATTCATAAAGTAACAATGACTTTTTGATCATAATTTAGCTAGAATTAATATGTTTAATTCAATAATATGATTATTCTTATCATACCCTTCAGGAGCCCAGTCTAGTCCGTACAGACAGTACACAAGTCCAGCTCAAAGAAAAAATCAAGCCAATTCTAGAACCAGTCAAGTTCAGCAGAAAACCAGTCTTGGAAACAAGCTTCTGAGTGAAGAGGAGGAATCGTTAGAGGAGAGCAAAATTCTTGAAGACATTTTCTTTCTATGATTCTGTTACTATAAATAGTCTATACTTACTGTGATATTATTCTTTTTCTCACCTGAAATAGTCTGTATTGTTTTGTAATGGACTTGAATGTCAAACTTTAAATATATGTCATCAGGGCTAATGTGGGTTCTTCCAATCTTATTCCGTGGGTACGAACAAATTATAACTTTTATGGCGTCATGGTGCAAGAATGACCATTGCATTGCACTTGTTATCAATTTAATTATTATTTACTAATTTGAACATGTAAAAGTTTGTAACCCATGCTTGCCAAGTTCCGGAGTATCTTTATTATGATCTGTTGTTAATCACTTACAAGGCAGCCAGCAATAAAACCTTGTCATGTAGATGTTCTGCCAGGTTTGTGGGTTAGTCCAGCCTTATTACGGCTAGCATTAAGAAGGCCTAGTTTTGTATAATTCCTGTATACTATGTTAGTATGAATTTTTGTATTGGGGATTATTTGTATACTTTTTTTGAAAAAAAAAGGACCAAAAAACTTTCATACTTAAAATTTTTTATGTAATTTTATCCATTAAGACACAGGAGCTTGAAATTCTATCAATAATCGCTCAAAAGCTTGATTTAAAAAAAAATCCATACCTATATATAAAATTTTTATGTATAGGTATGGATTTTTTTTTTAAATCGGACTTTTGAGCGATTGTTGATAGAATTTCAAGCTCCTGTGATTAAGACTAGCTTCAGACAACCATGTCCGTAACATAAATGGCAGTAATTTGTTAACTTATATGAGGTCATCTTGTTTAAGCAAGTGTCTTAATATGCGACTTTATAATCCTTAAATGGACTTGTCCATCTTTATACAATAACTCTTTTATCATATTTTGGGATATTTTCAAAATATGTACTGGCTGTGTAGCTGACAGTTCTGACTATTGTCATACACGTTCGACCTGTATTTAAAATGTCATTAAAACATTAAAGCTGCATGCCTCCAGATTCATTCTAACTTTCACAAAAATTCTGAAAATTTATTTTAAAGTAAAATATTGTAAAGGGGAACAAATAAAGTAATTTACACATTGCAAAGCACTCAAATTACTAAAAAGATCAAAATATGAAAAATTACTCTTGTGTCACTAAGTAAACTTAGTCACACAGTAGAAATATAGTGACAAATAATGAAAATTCAGTTATTAATTGCACATAAATTGAAAGACATTACTTGAATTGGGAATATTTTTTATTCCTTTGAAATTCTTAAAACCTTGGTACAATTTTCTCTCAAGATTTTCTTGAAATATTTTGGGTCATATGGAAGTATATATAACAATGTAAAATTAAATGTTCCAAATGTATGAGTAAGTTTCTTGTTTTTGATAGAAGAACACATATGTGCATCTTTCAACACATATGTGTTAAGATTGAAACTTTTGGGAATTTTTTCTTTTACCTTCTGTGGTAAAAAAGTCAAAGTTGCTATTGAAACAATATGTTAAACATTAAATCTGCTGCTAACTTCTAAAGTTACTGTAAAACTCCCACCTCTTAGATGACTACAAATTCTCTGTTATAAAACATAAAGATAAATGGAAGAACAATATGGTAGACACTAAAGTATCCCTTTAGCGAGGACATCCCCCATCTTTTCACTGTACAAATTACTTTTACGTTTTGTGCTATTATATTGCATTTACAATGTATTATGAAAATCATACTCTTCTGTAATAATCATTACTGTTTCTCACTTTTGTTAGTATACAATAATCTGTGTTATATATTCTAAAGTTTATTTTTTTTGCAATAAATATGTGAATATTGTGCAGACTTTTGTTGTTTTTTTTACTCAGCCATGAGTTCTGCGTTAAAAGTGTATAAAGATATATCTCTGCTGCCGACAGTTTACACATTTTTATTTCAATTTCTAAACAAACAAAAAAAAACAAATCCGAAATGCTGGTATGAAAGAAATTTGTTTCACAGGGAAAGGCTAGATTGTGTCTTTTCATTGGTTTTTAGCATCTACTGTAAATCCTTTTAGTGTGGTAAATGAGGTATGAAATAAGAACTGCCGGTAAGACAATGTGCTCAACTTCTCAGTGCTTGACAGTAAGGAAAGGGATGTAACTCTGTAAAAAGGGTAATTCAGAGTTATGGAACCTGTACCCTTTATGTAAGATTATCACAAAGAATAAATGTGTGAAGTTTCAACCCATTCCTTTCAGCAGTTTTAGAGATACCTACTTGCACAATTAAACTTAACCAAAATGTTACCCCGACACCAAAGCCAGGGTGAGAAAAATAGCTCTCCCTATTCTTTTTATAGTCGGGCTAAAAATAGAAACAAAGATTGAACAGTCAAATCAAACATAATATTAATTGCTTCAATTTTTATTCATTTTATATAAAAACAAAATAAAATATGTCACCAGACACTGTCACTTTAAAGTATTGTTTAAATATTGCACAAACATATTTCCTATTTTCGAGATATCGTCTACAGGATGCATTTTAGTATATGTAATAAACTGTCGTCTGCTACGCTGAAGTTCAGCCAGTGTAAACGGTCGGCAGAGATTTAACTGAGGTTTTGGTTAAGGATCATAATTTAAAGTACATGACCACTTTAAAGCAGCATTGCCTCCCAGATTCATGCAAATTTTCATGAAAATTTTGAAAATGTATTTAAAAGTGAAATATTGTAAAGTGAACAAAGATATGAATTTTACACAAATTAATCTCTTCTTACAATCTGTGTAACTTACCAAAAATATGCAAAAATAGCCCTTACTGCGTAAGTAACGCAGTAGAAATAATTTTATGGTGATAATTACTGAAAAAAAATCACACATAAAATGTTTATTATTACTTGAATGTGGAATCTTTTTACTTTTTCTTAAAATCTAAGTACATTTTTCTCAAATTTAATTTTCTTCAAATGTATTGGCTTATCTGCAGCTTTAAAGTTGTCATGACAACAAAAACAATGGTTATGTAGCAATAGCAGTTTTTTTTTCTTTGAAAAGGTTGAGCTAAAAATAAGATTCCCTCAACAAAAAGAAAAGACATAAAAAAAAAATATTTATTAAAATACATGGATCCATGAAATTTATGTAACAAACTTAAAGAATATTAGCTGTCATCCATACATGTAATCTAATATTGCATGATATTCACTAAAAAAAAAAAAACCTATTTATATTTATTTTTTTGTCCAACTAGAATCGTTGAGACGGACCATATGCTCCACTATTCTTGACACACCATAACATAACATGGACCAGGAGTCGGGCAGCAACATCTTTTGTCCATACTGCCAAGTTGTCTTAAAACCTGTACTGACAAGTGATTTTTTTTCTGAATTTAGACAAGTTAACAATTTTTCTTCCAAAAATGATTCAGATAAAAGGGACATACGGGTCAAAATCAAATTTTTGCCAGCCCTGCTGAACACGACCATGACATTGAAGGAACAATTCATAGAAAAATCATGGGTTTTGACCCATTATCAATTTTCCATGACCACTGTTAAGATTTGTGCCACAGTGTGCAGTCTGATCAGGATCTATGCTGTTCGCTTACAGACCCAATAACAAGTAAAGAAACTGATAGCGAACAGCATGGATCCTTATCAGACTGCGCGGATGCGGAGGCTAGTCTGGATCCATGATGGTCGCAAACCCATTATATTGGTTTTGTCTTGACGCGGCTCATTTATTCTTCAGTGTCAATGACCAATGTAAGGTTATGTGTGATGTTTCCAATGAATACCATGAGCAGTTATGTCAACACAAATGACCAGTAGGTCTAGGATAACCCATTTATTCTTCAGAATGCCAAAGATAAACGGCAAATGTAGAACATTGTATATAAAGGATACTTTATCTGTAGAACTAGGTATATTGATTTTGTCTCCAGGTACAAATGTTTTTAATGCAGCTATTATCACTTGTACTATTTCTGTGGTAACTCTGTCTAACTCATACAGGAAGTTAGTCGATGACAGGGGTTGCTGTAAAAAAAGAGTTTTTAAAAATGACATTACATAACTAATCTGAAAACAAAAACTTGTTCATTTTAGTAGACCTGATTTTAACCTAAGCATTAAATGCTGAAATTTAATCTTTTGGATATTACATTTGATCATAAAAAAATTAGTATACATTGTACGTATGTATGTAGTTCATTGTATTAATTTTCAACATTAGACATTCATTTTATACTGTTAATTTTCAAGTGTCAAATACAGCATCCTTTATTGTAAACGTCTGTTTGCCATGTTATTGTCATTTTTTTTAATATTTATCATAGTAAATTAAGAAGTTGAAGAAAGTGTAACATGTTTTGATAAACTGTGCAGGTTTATGAAACTTTTCTATCATAACTACATGTTGGTACTAACTTACTTAAAGTGAATAGGTCTATAATGGAAGGTCTGTAATACAATAAATGATAAATTTATGTTGATAGCTTGATAGTTCTAATGCATTTAGTATCATACATAACAAACCATGCGAGAATTATATAGGAATGTTCCTAACAAGTACAAGATATGCAATCCAAAGTTGCACATACATTGCATTTATAAAGCCGATAATACAAGAAGGAAATATCATTATTCATAAAAAAAATGATCAAAATAAATCACCAATCCACTTTAACAATAATCATACATGTATATGAGAATAAATTGTTTTATATTGACTTACGGGTAATGTTGAAGCATTTTGTGGCGGGGGTTTACGTTTCAGTAACGTATCTGATATTGCCTCTAATGGTAATGTATCGTCTTTCTGTACAATAAACAGTGGAGAGTCCCATCTGTTAGAGCCATTCGGTTCCTCAAATCTCATCACTAGCCCATCAAAACTGTCGACAGAAATTTAATAAGATAATGAATTGACATAACAAGGTAATCGAAAATCTGCACCTATCAAAATAAGCAATTAAATGTGCTGTCAAAATTTGCTTAGCATGTGAATTACAAAGGATGCTAGGATATTTACATACACTTATCCTCTTCATCTATGAATTTTGGCAGCGTGGCCGAGTGGTTAACGTGTCAGACTAATAATCTAAGGATTGCTAGCCGCATGGGTTCAAACCCCATCCGTGGCAAGCCGTTGTTTCCTTGAGCATGAATCTTTAAATTCATTGATCAGTACTGGTTGGTTCCAGGAACAGATTTAAGAGTGTTTCAATATGCTTATAGCTTCCAACACAATGGAACTAAAAAAATAAATTTGTATAAACTAATGAATTTCTAATATGGACTTGTACAACGTCCATTTTTGGACATGTTCATTATCAGTTTTTAGTATTAATTATTATATGAAAATTTATGCAGTTAGGCAGCCAATAAAATTAAGCCTGGTTAGACTTAATTGATAGATCCCTACTCTGACCTTTCATTTGAATAACAATAAATTTACCAACAAACATTGGCACGTATTATTTTGTTACCAAATATGTTGTGGTGAAATTTTTACTGTAACCCATTAATTATTATTAGACAGGTTAGGGATCTATGTATAAGTTAATGTTAACATTTGGGTAAAATTTGGTTTGTTTCCCAGACAGTGCAGGTCACTTTCGTTGTGATTGATCATGAAATCTTTTCTACCGTCATTCTACTGTACCTCTGCTCTGGTATGTACAGAAGTTTCAGTCCCTTACGAAAGTGAAGGCAACTAATACTGGTAAACTGCCTGACAGCCTGCCCAGGAACGATGCGTTGGCTGAACTGAGCTCTGGTAAATTCAATGTGGCTTACTGCCGTGATCCGGAGTGAAAACTATTAACACCAACACCACCATTGTAAAATGACAAAAGAAAACATAAATCCAGCAACTCTTATCTTCTTTTGTTTTTATTTTTTTATAACTGAAACATAACAGGGATAATGAAGGCTTTTCTTACTTCTAAATTCTTGCAAGGTTAAAGGGCATTTCAGCATGAAATTGCCTTACTTTGACCGACATATTTTAACTATAATACCTTTTTTTATATACTGTTACTTACATTTCCTGAGAATACTGTTCAGATGGGTCTCTTTGGAGATTCCATTGTGAAGCTGTAACTGAATCTGTGTTACAATGTATCTGTGAAAAAAAAGAAAATACATATTGCTCTGTGTTACAATGTATCTGTGAAAAAAAAACATTGCTCTGTGTTACAATGTATCTGTGAAAAAAAAACATTGCTCTGTGTTACAATGTATCTGTGAAAAAAGAAAATACATATTGCTCTGTGTTACAGTATATCTGTGAAAAAAAAACAACAAAAAAACAGAAACATATTGCTCTGTGTTACAGTGTACAGTATCTATCAATTATAAATGTGAATACTACCGTGTGCTTCAGAGTATAACGTAAAACTTAACATAGTGGGACTTTTGACATACATGTAATATACAGACTCAAGTACTAGTGTAATAAATTTCGAGGGTTTGGTGCAAAAGGTAACTCTAATGACAAAAATAAGAAGTTACAACCCTTTCACACCAAGCAGTCGTATTACTACCACTTAAATTGTAACACTCACTCTGTGTTATAGAGTCTATGTAAAGTATAATTATTTCCATGTGGTGTTACAGTATTGTACATCATACCAGTGAAGTGATCAGTAGAGTTGCACAGACCTTGCTTTATTCACATATCTGGAATGATTGATCCTTATTGTAAACATAAAGATATACTTCACTTTGAACATCAAAATTTTATCCCCAAAAATAATCTTTTGAGACTGAGACACAGTGACAACTGTCCTTGTTTAAAGAGATTAAAAGTTCTTTGGTATCACCAAAATTTCTGATAATCAGTCTATTCGGATCAAATTTCTATAAAATATTTCAACCAGTACTGACAACCATTGACCACTTAAGGAATGTTTTAAAGCCAGGTTAAAATAAAACAACAACAAAAACAATCAGACTGTTTCTTACTGCCAACCTTGGTGTGCATATAAGTTTAAAGTGACCTTGACCTATAAGAAACTAGAACTGCCACTATCATGGCGTGAATACCCCCGCATACCACTTTGTCAGAATCAACAGTGGCCATTTATAGCTCAAGGACAACCTCCCTGCCAAATCTGAGGTTACTAAGCCAGTGCATTGCTAAGTTATGTATTCTTCATGCTTCAAATGTGAAAATGTCAAAATCAATACATTGCGGACAGAACATTCTTTAGCAATTGAGAAGAAAAGCTTCTCTTTTTGTCAAGGTACCTGTGACCTTGACCTTTGACCCAGTGACCTCAAAATCAATAGGGGTCACCTTATAGTCATGATCAACATCCATGCCAAATATAAAGACTGTGGGTCAAAGGAATCTTAAGTTAATGGGTGGACAAACTTTTTGAAGTCAAAGTCCCTATGACCTTGACCTTTGATCCAGTGACCTCAAAATCAAAAGGGGTCATCTACTAATCATGACTAACCTCCATTCCAAATATGAAGACTGTGGGTCATAGGAATCTTAATTTATTGGGCGGACAAGCTTTTTGAAGTCAAGGCCCCTGTGACCTTGACCTTTGACCTGGTGACCTCAAAGTCAATAGGGGTCATCTACTAATCATGACTAGCCTCCATGCCAAATATGAAGACTGTGGGTCAAAGGAATCTTAAGTTATTGGTCGGACAAGCTTTTTGAAGTCAAGGCCCCTGTGACCTTGACCTTTGACCTGGTGACCTCAAAGTCAATAGGGGTCATCTACTAATCATGACTAACCTCAATGCCAAATATGAAGACTATGGGTCAAAGGAATCTTAAGTTATTTGGCGGACAAGCTTTTTTAAGTCAAGGCCCCTGTGACCTTGACCTTTGACCTGGTGACCTAAAAATCAATAGGGGTCATCTACTAATCATGACTAACCTCAATGCCAAATATGAAGACTATGGGTCAAAGGAATCTTAAGTTATTGGGCGGACAAGCTTTTTGAAGTCAAGGCCCCTGTGACCTTGACCTTTGACCTGGTGACCTCAAAATCAATAGGGGTCATCTACTAATCACGACTTACCTCCATGCCAAATATGAAGACTGTGGGTCAAAGGAATCTTTAAGTTATTGGGCGGACAAGCTTTTTTGAAGTCAAGGCCCCTGTGACCTTTGACCTTTGACCTGGTGACCTCAAAATCAATAGGGGTCATCTACTAATCATGACTAACCTCCATGCCAAATATGAAAACTGTAGGTCAAAGGAATCTTAAGTTATTGGGCGGACAAGCTTTTTTAGTCAAGGGCCCTGTGACCTTGACCTTTGACCTCAAAATCAATAGGGGTCATCTACTAATCATGACTAACCTCCATGCCATGAAGACTAAGGGTCAAAGGAATCTTAAGTTATTGGGCGGACAAGAAAAAACCGACGGACGGCCGGACAAGCTGATTCCAGGATACCCCCCTTACAACTTTGTTGTGCGGGGGTATAAATATGCTATCCGTTTGAACGGCGACCTAATAACCATGTTAAACTTTTAAACAACTGTACAAATAAAATCCTTAGATTTTCAACATTGACTTTGTTTCTTTATGACAGAATACAACATTTTGTTGTTATTTTGTTGAACTCAAAATTATACATTTCCAATAATTATATCAGAAAAGTATCAAAGACTTTTTTCGTTAATTGACAAAGACAACAAACAGTGTGCAATCAATTTTTAAAGGTTTAACTCCTCTTTAAGTCCCATCATTGTATGTGCTTTTTATTTTATAAAGTTTTATCATTTTCATATCAATCTTCAACTGTTTTAGTTATTATTTAATAAAGTTGTTGTATTTTGTGTATGATATGTAATGTGTATAATAAAGTGAACACACAAACACAATTTTTTTTTCCATTATAGATGTTTATTATAGATCTAAATACATAATGTTTAGATACCCGTGAATAAGCATATCATTTAATGATGAATGATGAAATTCCATATACTGGCAAATTCGATATACTGACATATCCTTTGGGAACCAACAGTGTCATTGTAATGAGTCCTAACTGTACATGTAGTAACTATTTTCCATTATCGTTGCACCGTATTCCAGCATATCAGAAAAAATTACATTGTTGAGTAAAACTAAAATACAAAGAAATTGTTTTATCTTGTTATAAAACACTACAGTAATATTTAGAATCAATTTAATACTTTTCCTCCTCTTGGTCAAAAACTAATCTCGGTTATCGGTTATTGAAATTTCTAACCCGTTTTCGGCTAAAAACTGACTGTACCCGGTTTAATGGATTAACATGACACCCCTAGTATTCATAAGGGTGTTCACTAGCCATGAAATCCTGAGGGTCATTTTGACTAAGTTTTACTGACTACAAGGCCAAATCCCCATGATTTTAACAAAATTTGACCCTCAAGTTATAATCCTGAGGGTCAAATCAGGCCTTTTGGAAATTTGAAGGATCAAAGAGTCATTTCAAGGGTCAAATGGACACCCTGATTCAAACTGTATACTTACCAAACATTGTGTGGTTTGTGACTCCTTTGTAACACAATATAACTCATATCGAAAACCTGAAATTAAAAGAGAAAATTTATAAAAAAATAAATATTATATCATAATATTATCAATAATAGGTAAATTAACTCATAAATTAAACTAAATAAACTCATATATTGATATATGCTAAAAATATTATGTCATAATTATAAAAAATATTAAAAATTATGAAACCAGTTACAAAGATAAAATAAATTGGAAGTACCCGCTGTACCTACATGTATTTGAGCTTGTGCAATATTGTTATCAACTTTCACCCGCAAATATTGACCTAATGATTAACTGAACAATTGAAGAATAGCCAAAGCCATCAACAGAATTTTGGCACTTCAAACTTTTTAAAGTTTCTATACCAACCTTTTATATAATTCAAAGAGTCTAAAATTGTGATGCTGTCTTTATCCAAACACCTGTAAAATAATTTTTCATAGAATATATGCATTTGCAATCATGAAATGAAAAATCAAAATTGAAAAATAAGTTTGCTTTAATTTTAAAATTTCAAATGATAAACAAACCAGTACCAATTTAGATTTGATAAATTAACAGTCAAAAATGCATGTATGAGGCTCAAACCCTTAATTACTCATTTGATAATTGACTCCACTTTTATAGTAACTGAATCCAACTTTCAAGCAATTCATAACTTCTTAACAATATATGAATGTTTTATACCTTTGTACAGATGATTTCAAATTTCCTCTCACAATCTTTTCTTTCTTGGAATCTGGAAAAGGTCAAAGATTGCATTTTTAATGACAATTAATAATTTAATTAACTCAAACCAACAGTTCATGAACAACAGATTTATTAGACCAATCTGCAGTTTTTCCACACTGTTTTACATTGTGTTACCCGTCTGATACATTTATCAATGAAAAGTCATGGTGAGTCAACGATTTTGTCACAAAGGTAAAGTAAGTCAATTAAAATGATGCCAATCTACAAAGCTTCACTTTTGTTTACCTCACCCCACCCACTTTTTTAAAATTACACACTCACCGTCGTAAGTTTCATTTCGATTGACACCTATCGTGTGATCACTAATAACAGTCACTTTCTTTTGACACTCATTAGAAAAGTACTTTTCAAGTTCGTTTGCTCTTTTTGACTTTCCGCTGGACGGAAAACCGCACATAAGTATTAACGGCATTTCAGAAACTATTGCAAGAAGCCATTTTACCGGAAGTTAAAATTTAGACTGGCATCCGTTACTGAATGACCATTAAAAGCCACAAAGGACCTGTGGTGAGGGTGTATAACTCGATTTCTATATTAAGTAGTTTTGGTAAACTCTCTACTAATGTATTAATTAACCGTTTGAACAAGTATCGAGAGTCAAATGATATTCTGTGTGAAGAGGAAGCTGGTTTTAGAAAGAAGTAAAGTACAATTGATCAAATAATCACTCTGAAAATGTTGGTTGATTTTTATGTATCAAGGGGTAAAAATTATATTGTTGTATTATAGATTTACGTAAAGCGTTTGATTCTGTTGATAGAATTGCCTTATGACAGAAACTGCTCAAGAAAAATATAAGTGGTATTTTTTGAAAATTTTACATATTATATATGGTAAAGCAAAGCCTTGTGTAAAAAGATGGTAAGATAAGCTTTCAAATTTTTGTTGCAAGTAATGCTGGCGTAAGACAAGTTGAAAATCTTTCATACCGTGTTGTTTTCGTTACTTCTAAATTATTTTGCACAGTTTATGTCTGAAAAATATGCTGGTATATATACATGCACTTGCTGATGATGTGAAGGGTCTATTAAGTAATAAGGATTAAGATGTGTTTTAGACACTTTATACTCCTTTATGCTGATGATATTGTAATTTTAGCAGAAAATGCAGATGAGCTCCAGACTGCATTAAATTCTATGTTAGAATATTATAATGTTTGGACTCTGAAAGTGAACTCTGCAAAAAGAAAGGTTATAATATTTTTAGGGGAAGGGATGGTATGGAAGATGCACCTCAATTTTCTTTTGATTATGATAACTTAGAATTAGTACAAGATTTTCTGATCTAGGTATTCAATTTATGGAAAAGGGTAAATTTGCTAAAACTAGAAAACGTCTTATTGATCAAGCGTAGAAAGCTAAGTTCTCTCTGATAAAGCTAGAAAATTGTTACTATCTGTAGATCTACAGATCCATTATTGTTTAATACAATGGTTTTTCTTCTTCTTTGTTATGGCTCTGAAGTTTGGGGAATAGAAAATGTAAAGTGTATTTATCAGTTTCAGCTTAAATTTTACAACATTTTACTTAACCTCAAGCAAAATACTCCCGATTGTATATTAAATGGTGAACTTGGACTTTGCAAATAAAAAGTAGAATTATTGACAACTGGTGTAAGCTTTTGAATGGAAAAAATGATACGATTTGTATTATTTTATATAAGGCAGCATACTGTGTAAATTTTAGATATTGAACTGAATTACTGTGGCTTTCTTTTGTTAAGTTTACTTTGGATTAACTTGGTTTATCAAATTATTGATTAAGTCAATTTGTACCTATTCCGTTTAATTTCAAACGTCTTGCTAAACCAAACTTCGAAATTATATTTTTTTATGTGAGTCAAACCAATTGGGTGACGAATTTCACTATCTCTTTTATTGTTCACATTTTGTTAATAGTAGACGTAAATTTATTAAACCGTATTACTACAGGTATCCTAATGCATTGAAATTTGAAGATCTTATGAATAGTAAAAACAAATCATATTTAAAAAATCTTGCTTTATTTTGAAAAGAAGAAATTACAACATGGAAATAATATGTATAATGTTGTATCATTAGTTTTCTAGAAATTTTGTTATTGAAGCATAAATTTCGATTATTATTAAGAATCCTGTCATAATTTTATTTTATTTTACGGGTACAATATAACTGTCACTCATTCTTCTGTTATTTTATATATATTTTATGTATATTTTTCTGTGTTCCGGTTGTTACATGTTCACAATTTTGTATTTTATGTACATGTTCTTATGAACCATGACAGTATTGAATAAATCATGAAATAAATCTTGAAATCTTGTGTCTGAAATTGGCGTCAAAACAAAGCAATGCAGGTCAGACTGAAGGTTAATTAATTAATATTATTATAATTATCCCAAATGAAGATGAAATGTGTTCAAGGTATTATCTTTTTGACATATTAGGCTATATGAATTATTATAGTCTATAGAGATACAAAATTTAGTCAAACATCTAAAAGGAATTTAAATAAATAAATTATACAGAAAGTAAAAACATATAACTACATATCCGTGTTGAATTTAATTTGAAACCTAACAAGTTCAAAGTTTCCAGGCGGAAGTGTTTTGGTGGTGTCTTGTCTTGTTCTCGGTGGGAAGCTGTAACAACTGAATAGTGCAAGACTTAATTAAGCCACAGTTTTTAAAAATCATGATTGGGTTAAAACATAAAGGGACTTAACAAATAATGAACATATAAACTATATATTTACCTATATAACTAATGTATTTGAGTTGCTTTCCTTCTTTTTTTCTCTTTTTTTTCTATCTTATATTTCGGGCTTCACTCTGTCTAGCCATAAACATACTATGAAAGCACTGATAAACATGTGTTTGCATGTAATACCCCCCCCCCCCCCCAAATAAAAAATAAATAAATTCCCTGTGTTAATTTTAAAGCCCGGATGGCAAAACATAGAATTTAGCTTTTAATACACTTTGATGGAAATATGTTTATAAGAATTTTTGCCTGGCAAATAAATGACACATGATAAGGCGTTCGATCCTCCAAAAACTAGTTATTGTCGCTTGATAAATGTTGGAAGCATTATTTTCCTGCAATAACTTACTTTGAAGCTTTAAGTTTAACCATTTGTGATATTTTGATATTTGCTGTTTTGATATTGGTAAAGATTGATTTTCTCTGATTTCTATAAAATAGAGAAAACAGAATCCCAAAAGAAAGCCCAATCTGGCAAAATTGAAAATATTACAGGCTCGGTTTAATTGAGTGTAGTGTAACGCTCAGATCTGAATAAACTCAATATGAACAAGCCAACACAATATAAAGTTTATAAACGTCATATATATGTATTTATTTTATATGATTTACTGTTCACCAATACAGCACAATTGTTTTAACAATGTCTTTAACAACTTAACAATTCTTATACAAATATTTAAAATAATAAGAATTAATGCCAATTGCGTATTTAGCATAATTTAACCTTAAGTGAGTGAGTCTGCTTTAACATCAAAAACTACACTAAATAATCGAATATTTCGCTCCCCTTATATACTAAAATACTTTACGCCTAAGATTTAATAACTTAATAATTCATAGAGTATATATGCATTTGTTGACAGCTAAACAATTAAATAACCCATTATATATGCACGATCTAAAGTACAAAAGGTACACTTCCCGTTTAGTGTTGACAGGTCTATTAATTAACTAAATTAAACATAGTATTCGTGACAGCTCATTAAATTAATATATCCGTCTATGCATACCGTTAACTAATTACTGGCTAATTACCGTTATCCTACAATATCTTCCCGACCAATTAAAAATACTTCCAGGTATTTTAAAATAAAACTTATTTAAAGAAAAAATTTATGTCACTTTTAAGTATGAAAGACTACGAATAGTTTCAAGATTGAAAAAGGAAAAAAAATCGAACTCAAAAATAAAAATAACTAAAGGTAAGCAATTGACCTTTTACAATTTATATATAGCAAGAGATATAATTATTCATATACAAGTTTAAAATTGAAAGTAATATTACTTAAAACAAATCATATTTAATAGTTTCTATTTTTTTTTTACATATTTCTGTTAACAAACATATAAGAATATAATTTTATATTAATATGATAAAACAAGAAATGTTCCGTATATATAACTATTTTCACTGATTGAATTGTCCTAAAATAACACTGTTTTGTATTGCGAGAATAACACTTATCTGTCCTAAAAAAACATAATCACTTTTTAGTTTTAAATAAATTTTAACACTGGTATGTCCTAATTTTTAAATTCACATTTTTAAAATTTTTCTTTTTTTTTTTGACGAAAGCAGAATCTCCAAGAATAGAATTAATTACACTATGTATCAAATAAAGAAACACAAAATACACTTTTTATAAAATTAACACATTTTCTGTATAATTTGTCCATGAAACGTTGTTTCTTTTCTGCTTTTTGAATATCTATCCTGGAGATTATGCCTCCGTGTTAACCTGAAACGACATAAAATATAATTAAGAAACATGTACATGTAATGTGTATTAGCATGTGACAAAAATGAGATAAAAAAACAAATATTTTAAATTAATCAGTGGAAGTCTTAAATTCCTATCATTTATATATACAGAAATGATGCAGTATAAATTGTTATAAAAGTAATTACTAAAAGTGTTAAAAACAATAAGAAAATAAAAAATAAAAACAATAAAAGAAATATATAAAACCCGTATAATACCCTTAACCAGAACCTGAAAATAGAAATCAAAGAACTATTAAAAATGTAAATAAAACTCTGTCACCAATAACGATATAAACAATGGTATTTAAAATTAAAGAATAAAATATAAAAAATCTGACCGAAATAAGATTTAAAAGAAACTAAATGAAAGATTTTCCATGAAATACTTAATATCTAAATTTTCTTTTTGTTTTACTTAAAAAATTTTTCGAATTTTCTTTTAAATAATAATCTTTAACATAAAATAAAAATAAATTTTGTGTCGTCTTCTAATCCACTTCGTCCATTTTACATCTTTGGGACGTCTGCCAGAGCGGATAAAAGTGACTTGCTGTCGCATGTTCAGCCTTGTTCAATAAACGGTCGAAAATCGATTCCATGAACCGACAGTCATTGACAAGATTTCCCAACGCTACCGGTGTAATTTCCAGTTCTAGACAATGGTCGCAGGCCTGTTGATTTCGTGCTGCTACTCGTTCTAGAATCGTCCCTTGTAGTGTAACGCTCAGATCTGAATAAACTCAATATGAACAAGCCAACACAATATAAAGTTTATAAACGTCATATATATGTATTTATTTTATATGATTTACTGTTCACCAATACAGCACAATTGTTTTAACAATGTCTTTAACAACTTAACAATTCTTATACAAATATTTAAAATAATAAGAATTAATGCCAATTGCGTATTTAGCATAATTTAACCTTAAGTGAGTGAGTCTGCTTTAACATCAAAAACTACACTAAATAATCGAATATTTCGCTCCCCTTATATACTAAAATACTTTACGCCTAACAGATCTGAATAAACTCAATATGAACAAGCCAACACAATATAAAGTTTATAAACGTCATATATATGTATTTATTTTATATGATTTACTGTTCACCAATACAGCACAATTGTTTTAACAATGTCTTTAACAACTTAACAATTCTTATACAAATATTTAAAATAATAAGAATTAATGCCAATTGCGTATTTAGCATAATTTAACCTTAAGTGAGTGAGTCTGCTTTAACATCAAAAACTACACTAAATAATCAAATATTTCGCTCCCCTTATATACTAAAATACTTTACGCCTAAGATTTAATAACTTAATAATTCATAGAGTATATATGCATTTGTTGACAGCTAAACAATTAAATAACCCATTATATATGCACGATCTAAAGTACAAAAGGTACACTTCCCGTTTAGTGTTGACAGGTCTATTAATTAACTAAATTAAACATAGTATTCGTGACAGCTCATTAAATTAATATATCCGTCTATGCATACCGTTAACTAATTACTGGCTAATTACCGTTATCCTACATGAGCCTATTCACGAAACGGTAATGGAAAGTGCCCCCCCCCCCCCCCCATAGCACCAGCTTAAAGTGATATTATGCCCATCCAATGATAGATAGTGGGTGAATATGTGAAAATCAAAACAATTTTTTATTTTGCCATAATTTCTTTTAATTTAATAATTTACATTGCATAAACAATAAATAACGCAAGAATCCAAGCAAAATTTCTGTAAATATCCATTAGAATGTACCTGAAGCGTTCTGATTACAAAAGAGTGGGACAATATAAAATATAAAATATGAGCATAATGCCACTTTAAGCAGAATTCAACATTTAAACACGAAAATAGTGAAATTTTGAATTAAGAAACATCCGCAGATGTATTCATACGGCGGTTATCATGATACCTTCAATATGACGCAGTATAGCCATTCTATGAAAAGCGGCGTATGTTTCCCAAGTAAAAGAATCTTTGTGCCTTTAACTAGAAAACAATGGGCGGGACTAAAAATGGAATTTTGAAAGGGGAGCTTGAATGTCACAGACAAGACGTCAAAAGACAAATTTAAACTAGAACTGTGTCCAAAGGACACGGATGCCCCCCCCCCCCCCCCACCGACAACATATATATGGTATATGGTGAAAAACTTAACAAAGGGCCATAATTCTGTAAATTTGGTCGCAGCGAAAATTCCTTCGTTTACTACCATATACACATTAAGGTTGTACATCCCTGAAAGTTTAAGCAAAATCTGCCATCCGGTTTAAGAGGAGTTGCGTTCACAAAATTGCTATGTGGTAAAATAGAAGAAACTAAAAAATCATATATTTTAGCCTACTATGTATCGATAGCTATTGCTGATCTTCCAAAAAAAAATAATATCAGAACACTATTTATACCATTAAAATTTGCGTTGACTTTTCAAGTAGGAGCTTATCATTTATTTATTTTAGTTTTGCAACAACATTCTATGAATTAAGCTAGAATGCCACTTTTTAATAAAATTACACATTTGCAAATTAAAATTATATATGATGCGCCCCTTATAATATATTTCAACTTTTATTTACACTTTTTGGTGTTTCTTTTTCCTTTAGCGCAATAAAATGGATAATTAGATAGACTGGATTTTCCCGCGGTAATTTTAAAATTCCGCCCAAAAAAAGGGAAGCGCAAGACAAAATGCCCGTCGAAGTGGAAGCTCAATTAGACTCTGTAGAACCAGAAAGTAAAAGATTGTGTACAATGCCTCTTGATTCAGTATTTTTGAAGTTTGCGAAACTGACACAAAAAGCCTTTACTCCAACGCGTGGGTCGAAGTTAGCCGCTGGATACGATTTATACAGGTGAGTAAAATTGATTAATTTAATCTCTGCGTAGGTCTATGAATAGAAAGAGAACAAAACAAGCATGTAATGCTTAAAGACCTACTTATTATTCTTGCTCTGTAGCCGACTAAGTACTAAATAGAACAATTGAATTCATTGCAGGTTACTGTACCTGAGTACAGGCGGGAGTTTTGAAAATTCCTAAGAATACAAATTCAAGTAAGCGCTAAAACTGGAGTCCCCAAGCTGAGAAAGTCTGCTGTGAAAACCACAGATGACCAACAATATATTATAAATTATAATATTTTGATCTATCAAATTAGCACTGAATGTCATTTGACAAAGGTGCAAAATTTTTGCATGTTTCAGTCGCAGAAAACTGGTCTAAATCTAATCCAGGAGATTGGCGTGTGGAGTCCTAGTGAAGTGATTACCAGTGTCTATTCTAGGACACGCGATTGCGCGATTCACGTTAGTATTTCACAGATCGCGCACAATTCAAAATCATGTGCGTGAAAATCGCGCATCTATAAAAAAAAGTAATAAAATCGTAAATCTTCCATCCCGCATTATATTTGGTTGTTTTGTTTACATTTACATCGGAAACCGAAGGGAGGTAACTGTTAGCTAATTATAATAATTTAGTACCGTATGGTACTGGTTACGTGAGTTGACGGAAATTAACGGAATGTTCCGTACTAACCGGAACTAGTGTGCTCGGTCTGACAGTTGGGCGCCATTTTAGTGTAGTAAATTATCAAGAAAAACGAGGCAATTCCTAGCTTGGCTACGATCTAGACGTGAAAGATAGGTCGATTGTTTGTATTGTCCATCCCTTTATAATCAATCGCGGCAGTTCTGTAAAAATTTGTTTTCGTTTAAAAATTAGGGGGGGACAACTTTTGCTGCCTTAAATAAATAACGCCTCAGTGTAAACTTAATGCAGACGATTTAACATTGGCAGTTTATTTTGGCACCCCTTGATTTTGAAAATCGCCCCCTTTTTTGAAATAGAGGGGGGAAAATCACCCCTATTTTTCAATTCCTAGAATAAACACTGGATTACAGGTGTAGGCCATTTCCAACAGACTTGCTGTAGGGTTAACCCTTTAGCGACATGGTTGAGTGTCTGTCTTGAAATTGAGAGGTCCCGGTTTAAAACCCGGTCACCACTTGAGGGTTTTTCAGGTTTACAATACACTAACAAAGTTTGCACTCTTACCCTATGCTACGACCGTATGTAAACAAAACGTTCGCACAGGGCATGCGCGGTGGTTAAATCCCACCCATTTTATTCGATTAAATTCTAGAACAACCTCCACTTTCGGTTTCAATTTTGCTGACAAGGAACAGTTTGAGTCAACACAAGTGTTAATTTTAATTGCAATGTCCAAAACTTTGCACTACACGGCGTAATTTTCATTACATATTGGGTATTATCACCGTCATGGTAGTTTTTATTCCAGTCGGTCAAAATGACGGTACACATTTACATGTAAACAAACAGATTTAACTTCTCAGACAATTAAAATAAGGAATGGACACACGGTAAACTCTGTTGCAACGTAAAGTATATTCATAAACCTGTTTGAGAAAAATTGTCTCCGTGTTCAAATAAATTTCAAAAACGGGGAAAAAGGCTCTCTTTTACCGATACCCTGCAACAGAACCTTATTATTCTGTCGAATTAAATTGACTTTATAACGCTCGTATACTATTATTTATTGATCGATTTTCATTATATTTATTTTGTAATACCTATCATTCAATATGCAATCAAACAAAAGCAAGTTTTCCTACATTCAAGGAAATTGTAAATTAGGACGAGCTTTCAAAACAATCAGGTAGCAATTTCCAACACGCTTACCGAAACTCCAACATGGCGGCTCAACCTGGCTCATTTGCATAATTTATTCATAAACGCAGGAGCATAGAACTTTGTTAGTGCAATAGTATACCTTAAAAAAATCATTGAGATGACAATGGTGTACTGAAGAAAAAACCCTCGTGAAAACTCATCAAAAATAACATTTTGCATTATGATCTATTTTCAGTGCCTATGATGTAAGTATACCAGCTAAAGGGAAAGCTCTTGTGAAGACAGACATACAGATTGGCCTGCCAGATGGTTGCTATGGACGTGTTGGTATGTTTATACACCTGGCCCATGTTACAGATACCAAATTCATCACTACATCAGTTTGGCATACTTAATTTCAATTATGGTTTGCTATTTATATCAGCGTTTTTTTTCTCTACTTTGGGAATGGTGCCGGTACCAGACTGATTGGGAAAAAATGCGTTATTTTGACTAAAATTTTTTTGGGAATTTTTTTAATATATTTTTTCAGCTACAAATGAGATTAGACATCATGAATAAAGATAGCTAACAGCTTCTACTGTCTAGATAGAACTATTGAGTGGTGATTTATATGAATATGTTGGATTTAAATGATTTTAGAAAAATCACTGCCTTGTGGGCATTTTGAACAGTCATTTTGGGAATTTAACATTGGAAATTGGGAATTTTAATGTCAATTTTCTATTGGGAATGGTACCGTTTAAGGGTAGTAGTTATATAAAGAAAAAAAACACTGTATATATATGGATAAATTTATACGGCTAGCTTAAGGTACATTGGTGGTTCTACTTAAATGCAATCTCATGCCTAAAAAATGGATCTGCATCAAAGTTCTTCCTCCACCCTCTCCATAATTATGATGTCTTGAAAAACCGACCATCAAATATTAAAAGACAAAAAGGCAGGTGGAAGGTAAAAGCCTACTTTGATTGCACAGCCATGCATGTGAATTGATGAGTGGAATAAAAATTGCCTGGTGCATTTATTAGAAATTGACCCAGGTAACAGTGTCAAACTTGAATGGAAGACTATTTTCATATTCTTTTTCTAAAAATAACATACAACAAAATCAACAGTGACACCATCAATGAAAAGTATCAGTGTTACAGCATTTAATGTTTAAGGTATGATTTTTCTAATTTATTCATACAAGCAGAACTTTACCAGTTTTATGTCTTACATATATGTTGTGTATAACATCAACCTAGATGTCTCTGTGAATATGTATAAGCTTCAACCCAGCATATTTTTCAAACCCAATGTCTTCAGCCTTCTTTCTCAAACTGTTGATTGACTGCTTGCCGCTCGTGGTTGTTTGGCTATGAAATTTATCCCTCTTAAATGAACATTGTTGTTAAACTACATGCTATATCTCAATATATACATCAAATTACAAAGTTATATTTCTTTTGAAGCACCAAGATCAGGCCTGGCTCACAAACATTTCATTGATGTTGGCGGTAATTATCATATATTTTTATAAAGTCTTGAAATATTTAAGCAACCTTGAAATAGCTTAAAAATAAATGCAAGGTTTGCATTCTCTTTCGTTTTATTTCAAAATCTTTAATAAAATAGATGTCTAAAATCTTCCAAGTCAAACATGAATTTGAAGATATTACATATTGAGGATGTACTCTTTGGATGATTAGAGGATGATATGATATGATAAAAAGATATATATGTGTTTAGTTAATCAGGGCGTCCATTAAGTTTGAAAATTTGGAAGTCAAGAGTCTGCAAAATCTCTGATTTTTGGAAGTCACATTATATATGTAACAAAAAAAAAGTATTAAATTCTGGAAGTCACAAGCCAAACTCGGGGAGTAAATGGCTCCCAAACTTCCATTATTGAAAGCTCTGTTTAATGGTATTTTTCATTGTAAAAATTGAAAGAAAAAAATAGTGGAAGATTTTGATATTAAAATAAACTCTACTCGTACATTTTAGCTGGTGTGATTGATCAGGATTACCGTGGAAATGTTGGGGTTGTCATGTTCAACTTCTCAGAAAAAGATTTTGAAGGTAGGTCAAGAATGATTACAGGACATTTTCACCCCATCACCATGGGCCAAAATAAGGAACCATTCCCAATCCAAAATAGCCTCTTCCGATTAAAAAAAAATATCCTAACGTCAGCCCCTTTAAACAAAACTTTTGCGACTTCTGAGAAAACTTGAACTGTTTTCACTTATTTCTTAAAATAAATGATGTGTTATATGACATTATAATCTAATGTGGGTATTCGTAATCAAGACAGTACTGTGTAATCTTCACCGTATACATCACCCACTATATATTTTCACAGATCTCTATATTTTTTTTTAACAAATGATCTTTAGCTTCACTGGTGCTGGCCATTACTTAATCTGATACAAAATTATTAACATTTTTCAGTGATTTTCCTGCTTATAAAACAAGACTCCGATAAAGGGCCTCGTTCAAATGGAAATTTTCTTTAAAATCATGCAGTTTTCCCAAAAATCTGAACTTAAACCTGCTTTTTTACTTCCCAAAATAGCAGTTTTGTTGATAATTTTTCCCAATTAAGTGAGAAAAATCACTGTTTTAAAATGAAATACTAATGGTTTTGGTGTTGTTTTTTCCATCACAAAAGATTGTTAGTAACATTACAGTAACAAAAGGAGAAACTAATATGTCCAAATGATCTGAATGCTGTAATTTGTTTATTTCACAAACATGATTTCTGTTTTGCTATTTCAGTAAAAGCTGGTGATAGGATTGCTCAGTTGATATGTGAAAGAATTTACCTACCTGACCTGAAGGAAGAAGATGTAAGATTTGTCCCTGTTAAAATCCTGAAATCACATACCATATCAAGAGTTTACAATTTGAAATATTTTAAAGTCTTAATAAACATAATTTGCATTTTGATTCATTCGCGTTAGATGGTTTTCAGTTGCACTTGACCCAGTCAGCGTTTATGCCCCACTGGCTGAGTGGTTAATGTAACTTCCTTTGAATCACTTAACCCTATACTGTGCTGGTGTGACGTAAAACCCAATAAAACAAACAAAACTTAAGCTTATGTCTTGTTGTAATCAAGATATGATCCTACCAGATATTTAAATTTTTCTGATGTTAAGAATCTATCCAGATAAAATAAAGAAGGTTGGTGGTTCAACTTAATTCCTGAAACAGTACACAAAACAGTACACAAAACAATTATTTTTTTTAGGCCCTAGTAGCCTGAATATTATTATTGTGAAATTTTCACTAGCCCAATAAAAACTTAACTTTAACATCTTCCCATGTCTAAAACACAGGAATAATTGTCATGAAGTCTAATTATGCATATCCTAAGGAATTTGACCTTGACCCATAAATGATCTAGACCTTCATGGTTAATTGCTTCAATTTTGTTTAAATTGACTAAACCCTATTTAACACAAGTGGTTATTTTCTTGTCTGAAACGTTCCCTGCATTTAATGGACAATTAACAAGTTTAACATGTTTACAGACCCTGGATATAACAGAGCGTGGAGATGGGGGCTTTGGCTCGACGGGGAAGAACTAGGGTGAGAGAGGTAACCTCATAAAGACTTCAACATCCACTTGTTGCCACTAGAGGAAAGTGCTGGACTGAAACATTAAAGAATCAATCTTAAAGTGCAGATGTAGAGAATCCTGTTTACAGACTTCCAGCCCTGGTTGTTATATTTAGAAATGTGGTTGGTGTGTTGTTGTGTTGTTTTTTTGACAACCAAAAAAAAAAAGCCAACGAAAAAGCAATCTAGACTAAAGTTTTGCAAAGAAAGAATAAAAAATAACAGTAATGAAACTTTAACAAAATTTGATGAATATTTAGCAAGAGGTGGCAAAAGTTTAGGCCTGGCCTCAAGATAACAAATAAAGCACAAACTCAGATCTCTGGAATTTGATTGGTCAGAAACTCACAGAATGTACACTGACCAATGAAAATCCTGAGATTTGAGACAGAATGCAGAAAATTCTTTGTTACCTTGAGGCTGAACAAAGTTGCAACTGGCCCTAGTGTGTACACTGGAAAAAATAGGGAATCAGTTTTTACCATATTCATTGCCAGTGGTAATTTAAAAGGTTTTTTAATGATTATATATTATAATCATTAATACCTCAGTCTCAGGATTTATCAAAGATTTGAATTTCATGCTATGCAAAATACATCGGTTTGATTTGTTGAATTAGTTTTGTTATGTTTTTATGTGAAATCCTGGTAAAAAAGCACCATTTTGAACAAAATATTACGCAAGTACTTTTAAGTACAGCTTAAATAATGATTTCATCAATTTATTATACATTAGAAATTTGTACATAGTTAAAATACATAGGCATCTTTGTTAAATAATTACTTGTTTATTTTGTTAAGTTTTTCTGTAAAGTCCTGGTAAACAGGTTAAGGCGCTATTTCGATAAAAATATTCACCGTTTTGAGTTATCAGTTTACCGGGTATCTTTGGGGTGCCAATGGCAGAGTGGTTAAGGTTGTATACTTCAAACCACTTGCCTATCACTGCTGTAGTTTTGAGCCAAGCAAGGATCTTAATTTTCTTAAAAAGGTTGATATTCCTAGATAGTGTTTTTTTGTTGTTGTTTTTTTTTACAGGATTTTACAATGGTTTAACTATGTCCAGGGCTCCAGATAATTTTTTAGGGCAATGAGTATTTACTCATTGATTTTTTTGTGAATGAGTAAAACTTGAAATCTGAAATTTGACAGGAGTATTTTTACTCCTTAAAATGTATGTAAAAGAGTAAAAGATTTGTTATGCTTCCATGTTTATTGTATCATTATACGTGTAATACAAGATATGTCAAAGTCATTTCTTTTGCTTTTGGACTCTCTTGGTTTATAATCTTGCATTTCCAAACGGCATACGTTTTATCTGAACCTGAGGCATGTTTCTGTTGCTCATACGTGGCAGCGCTATTATTTCATTAATCATAACCGTCACAATTACTTTTGGGTCGATTTTTTTTCGGCTGAAAATACGAGTCAATCGTTTTAACTTTTGACAGCGACATTGTACCGGTTAATTCCACCACCTTACTATACATACGCTAACAACCGATGATAGTCGGAACTACAGGAAGTTACCGTTAGACGTTGCAAAGTATTCATGCGTAGTTAATTCCACCACCATACTATGCATACGATAACAACCGATGATGGTCGGAAATACAGGAAGTTACCGGTAGACGCTTGCAAAGCGTTCAGACGAAATTGAAAATAAAATAATCACCGAGTTTACTTTCGGTTACGTTTACGCGAAAGAAATGTTGCTCAATGCGTAACCTGAATTTTGTGTGCGTTTTCATACGCTTAAATTTTGTTTTGAATGCGTAAACGGGTTATTTCCATGCGTAATTTACGCGTATACGCATCTTATCTGGAGCCCTGCATTATGTCATTGTCTTTGTGCTATATAATTTCTTTATATTGTGTTCTGACCCTATTTCAGGGGAAAGATACCACTAAATGTGTTCAAACATTGTATATAGGATTTTCTTTCTTTCTATTTTTGTGTAAATATTTTGTTGTATATACTTTGTATTTGATAAGAATGTTGAACGAGATGCATAGATCTGAATTTTTTTCTCAGGACATTCCTCATTGTCTTGTTTGATGATACCTATCATTTCTTTTCTCAGACTTTTTATATGATGTCATAGTGCATGACTTTTTTTCACAAGTTTGGGAAGCAGCCCTGCCCTTCATTTTGAGGAAAAATATTCAGTATTTTTGCAAATGGGGAAGAAAAAAGCTTGATGTAAATTCAATTTTTAGCTCGACTTTTCTATGAAAAGGGGAGCTATCCTACTCGCCCCGGCGTCGGCGTTGGCGTCACACCTTGGTTAAGTTTTTCGTACCACCCCACTTTATTTCAGAAGTATTACAAGTATGGCTTTGAAACTTACCATACTTGTTCACCATCATAACCTCCATCTACAGACAAGAGTACATAACTCTGTCAAGGTTTTTGACAGAATTATGGCCCTTTTTTGACTTAGAAAGTGTATTGAGCTTGGTTAAGTTTTTTGTACCACCTCACTTTATTTCAAAACCATTGGAGGTATTGCTTTGAAACTGACCATACTTGTTTACCATCACGACCTTCATCAACAGACAAGAGGACATAACTCTGTCAAGGTTTTTGACAGAATTATGCCCCTTTTTGACTTAGAAAATACATTGAATATGGGTAAAATCCACTTATTGCCTTAACCCTTTGAGATATTGCTTTTGACTTAAACATTTCAAACTTTGCTGCAGTGTTCAAGGGTATCACACAATTCAGTAAAATAATTCTTCACTAAATATCTTAATGCTCATGGCCATTGTTCACTTTAAAAATACAGAGATTCTTGTATTGCCTTTTACTGCAAAAACTTTTTTTATTGGCAAGCAATAAAAAAGTCGAGCGCGCTGTCTTACGGACAGCTCTTGTTTCCACAGGTGTGTTCAAACTGTGCCATGGGGAATTAGGAACATTTCAATATTGATCTCCATTTTTTCCCCCAATAATGTGTTCAAATTAGTATGTCATTAAGCTAACTTGTTCAATTTTTATTGTGTGTTCAAAATATATTTCAAAGCCATTGTGTTCTGTTTACGTTGTATGACAAGTGTTAAAATATATGTAATTTATGCAAACCTATTGTCATCAAAATTCATTCATTGGTAGGTTTTGCCATCATAAACTTTGTTAATTGTTTCATTCTTACTTATTTGTGTTCAAAGAACATTTGTTGTAGAAGGCTCAAATATTTCATATGCTTAAACTTTTCAACTCATAAAAGCATTAAAAAGTATGAATATCAACCTGTTTACAGAACAGTAGCATAGTATTTTGACTGCCTAATGTTAATTGTCTATTTGTACTCATGATCAAAATAAATGGGTATCAATCTACATTTGTATATGTGTTAGTTTTGATTTTATTTTGCCTACTAGCGTTTAAGCTGCGTTAAGTCACAGCGTCTAGGATTTGAAAAACAGGGGAGATTTTTATCGAAAAGTCAGAATTTATTACATTTACTGATTTTTTACCTTCTTTCTCTATGTAAAATTTTCATCCTGCCTCTGAAAAATAGGGAATAGGAGTGAATCCCCCCTCCTAGAATAGACACTGAGTAATAGGTAACTTAGTAATGTAGTGATTACATATTGAAGATTATGCCCCGACCCAGATTCCGTTTGTTTCAAATAAAGCTATTTCGGCTATGGCTATTTTTTTCGCATTATGGCAACAGTTGTATGTATTCATTGACGAGTGTCTCGAATAAGGAACGTTAGAGTAAATGATGTTTAAACTAACAATTGATAAAAACTGTTGTTATTTCACCAGCCAGTGATTAAGGAGGATGGCTTCAAATCCACTTTAGGTCTTCATCGAGTTTGGTTTGATTCCTAACATGAAATTACTGAGGTCCATTTGTATGCTCCCCGAAATGTGAGCATACAGTTGCCGCTTTGTCTGTCCTTGTCTGGGACATAACTGAAACAACAACAGGTACCAACATGAATCTTTGTAGATAGATCTGATTGTGAATGAGTAGGTGTGCAGTGCACAAGAACGGTAACTCTGCCTTGCCTATTTTTTGAATTATTGCCATACTTTGTGCAGGACATAACTCTTAAGACTATAAGAGGTATCAACATGAAACTTTGTAGGTAGATAGATCTCGTTGAGTAGGTGTGCATTACATAAGAACCGTTACTCTGCCTGGCCTAATACTTGATTGAATACCCTTTGTTTATTTTTACTTTTTGACTTGTACGGGACATAACTAAAGCTATTAGAGATATCAACATGAAACTTTGTAGGTAGATAGATCTCATTGGATAGAACTGCAATGCTAAGAAACCTAAACATAGCCTTGTCTAATTTTTGGAGTTATTGCCCTTTGTTCATTTTTACCCGGAACATAACTCTGAAACTATAACAGATATCATCACGAAACTTTATAGATAGATAGATCTCATTGAATAGAAGTGCAGTGCAAAAAAGAAAAACAACTGCCTTGCCTTATTTGGAGTTTTTGCCCTTTAATAATTTTTTTATACATTCCTGTGTCCAAAACCTTGGGGTGCATCAACCGGTTCTTGTTTGTTGGAAAGCTGTCACATTATCAGCCATGTGTAGTCCTAATACATGTACATGTAGCTGTCATAAATTATGTTCATGTAGTATCCAGGCCGGAACATCATCAAGGAAGCTAATCTGACCTTTGGCCGATTTTGGAGTGTTTACCCTTGTTATTTTTCACGCCAGGTTGTTATTTTTCACGCCAGGTTCTCTTTAAGTTGAAAAGCTGTCTAGTGGCCTTTACTCCGTAAATGTAACTCAGTTTCTTATAGTCTTAGTCTTTAATGAATGGCATTTAAACTTGGCTTGTTAATCTATTGGTGTGCGTGCATTGTATATCATTTGTACGCTACGCCGGTTGAATTATGGCAAGAGCGTACACGTGTACATAGTTTTAACGACCCGCTTCTGACAAACCTGTCCGTTACATCGGAACAATGCATGCACATTCAAGGCAGGGTGTTGGGAGGAGAATAAAGAAATTATTAAATTTGGAACGGTACAGAAAACAATTATAGCGCAAAGACACGGATATGAAAAAAATTACAGTGTATGACTTGACGAAAAATAATGAATAAAAAAGTTTAAAAGATTTGTAAAATTTATCGATGTTTCGTGCATTATGATGGATACACAGCTTGTACATGGTCAGTCTATACCCTGCTGAATTTGCCCAGAAACTTTCATTTCATAAATAAGACGTCATGGTTTCCCACTTCTATGGTTTGAGTAATGCATTTTCACTGCAACATTCTAATTAAAGTTTAAGGGATAAAAAGAATAGAGCCATCAAAAGTATAATGCATACTCGGACTGTGGTACGGATGTGTAGGCTTGCCTGGCTCTATTCTGTTAGCAAAGGGAGATAACTTAGTTCCAGCTTCATGTTAAAAGAATGACAAGATTATAGCACTTGACGAGTAATGATGAGATAGCCTTTTAAGCTGCATGCCTCCAGATTCGTTTCTTTATAAAAACTTATGAAAATATGTGTAGTGTAGGACAAAAGCTGTCCCGGGCAAAAACCCTCCCGTCCAAAAATAACCAGTTCGCACAGGCTTTTGCCCGCCTTGTCATTTTTGGAATGGAGGGCTTTGGTGAAAATATATTTAAAAGTAAAATATCGTAATTGGATATTGGATATTTGTGAGGTTTATATAATCTATATACACGGCTTCAGTCGATTTAAAAATTAACTAAAAAATCATATAAAGAAAGTTTGCAGTATTATAAATTTGTCATTAAGATTCTTAATATAAACGGTTATTTGCAATCTTAACAAAGTGGTTATACAAAATTAACGTTTATACAAGGCCACATAACCTGTCAAAAATCTTTATAACTATTAATACAAAATGGTTACTCGCTTTAAGAAAATAAGATAAACCACTTAAAAAAAGAAAAATGAATTGTTCCATTCTCAAAGTCGGGCAATTCCATTGTTGTAATTTTAGCGGTGTATAGTATAACTACTTTAGTAAACGGATTCATTAAGCATTGTAAAATAAACAATAGCTTTTAAACAATGCGTTCATTGAAAATCATAAAGTGAAAAAAGTATAACAGAAAAAAATCTTTAAATAAACTACATCTAAAGAATTGAAAAAAAAGAAAGAAATTAAACGGGTGAATACTATGGACAACATGTAAATTTATTGTTTTATTCAATTTGATTTACAAAAATGCGTACACTTTTATATTTGAGATTCAAAGGTAATTATATTTATTTTTCAAATATTTTATTTGCCTCAAAGGTACAATGTTTTAAGTGAAAAGGTCTATATTTACAATGGCCACATTGTACATTAGTATTTCAAATTTTGATAAAAAAATAAAAGAAATGTATCATTCGGACTTTCTCATGAAATGCCTCGGTTGATAAAGTTTAAAGTGATTTAGAATAAAATACATATATGATGAATAATAATATTTTGTTCTAGAACATTTCATTATCTGCTTTATAAATATTTGAGCCGCGTCACGACAAAACCAACATAGTGGGTTTGCGACCAGCATGGATCCTGATCAGACTGAGCGGATGTCATTATGCATCCGCGCAGTCTGATCAGGATCCATGCCTGTCTACATGTAATAGAGCAGGGGCGGATACAGAACAAGGTTTCCTGGGGGGGGGGGGGGGGGGGCTGACATATGGGTGGACGAATTTGACAAACATAATGCAACAGGCAAAAATTGAAGATTGGGCCAGCATCTTGTTCATGTGTCAAAAATTGTAATTGATGTGTTTTATAGCTCATCTAATGAGTGGCGATGCGTTTCCCTTATAAATGTGTATACTAATGTTTTTGTAAATATTTAGTTGATATGGAATTAAGAAAAATATATGTAAATGGGGTGGGTGTGGGAGGGGTGTCCCCTCACATAGACCGAGAAAATTTTGAAATATGAGGTTGAAAATGGTGTTATTTCCTTGACTTTCTAGTGCTGTTTATTGTACCTTTTGGATGGTTTTACAAAATAATGTATTTTGTATAGGTTATTGTTTGCAGGGTCTTTCAAAAAGAATTCCCCTAATGTTAAGTAGTGAGCATTTACAAAATAACAGCACACTTACCAATGTATGCACAACTGTTGATAAAAATAAATTCAAACACTTGATCAATTTATTCATCTGAATAATAGACGATTTTCCAAAGTTACATTGTAAGTGATATTAAAATACTGCCTTCCTAATGTACCAAAAAAAGAATTTAAAAAATTAAACACTCAAGTATTCAATAAGAATTTTTCCCATCAATGAACCCATTTTAGATACTTAAAAGAGGTCAGTACAATTTAAATTATATTTAAAAATATAACTGCCATAAAAAGTTATTAGCAAATGACCAATTATGTCATATTAATAAAAATCTTAGTAAAACTACCGGTAGTGATTAAAACGCGATTCCTTTAATATTATCATTATAAAACTCGCCATCTTTGTAATTTACAAATAATAATTTTCAATTTCTTAATAATAGGACTTGGAAAAACAAAGATAGTAAAATATGGTGCACAATGTAATTTGCCACTATCAGTGACTATTTATTTCATTAGACCTTTGGAAAGTAATAAACCAATCAATTATGCAGTTTAAACATTGAAGTCATTCAAGCATGCTGAAAGATAAAGATCTCTGCCAAGCCCCTAGGCAGGAGATTAACAACTGGATGACAGCAATTAATGTTTTGATAAGGGAGTACACTACAGCCAATAAAGTTTGAAACTCACAAATATATATTCCAGCCCAGCTGGTAAACATATCTTTGGGTCAAGCTGGGGGGGGGGGGGCTGCAGCCCTGAAGCCCGGGCCTGAATCCGCCACTGTAGAGTTGGTCAGCGAACAGCATGGATCCTGATACACAGGCTGGTCTGAATCCATGCTGGTCCCAAACGCACTATGTTGGTTTTGTTGTGACGCGGCTTATTTGTAATATTGGATAATTATCTCACACCTGCCAAAAACTTTCATGTATAATTCTTCAATGTTTTTTTGTTATGTCTGATACTGAATATTGTTTACGTAATTATTCATTGTAAATTACAGACATTCCATTATAGAACATTTCACTTTAAAGGACATTACCCCTCGGAATGACCCCCCCCCTTCTTTAGAAAGGGATTTTTTAAATTTTTAGAGCATTTAAATAATGGTTTAAGGGTAGTCATATGTTATTAAAAAATAATGGCGCTAAAGTAAAAATTTGTCAAAAAAAGAGAACATGAAAACAAAGTATATTTTGCTTTATAAAAAATACAAAACACTATAACGAACTAGTCCCCAAAAAAAGAACGGGCCAAAAGGGGGGCCATATTGGCAATTGAGAAATTTTGAACTAAAACTGGCACAAAAAAAAAAAAAATTTTTTTAAGAAATAAAATAATCTTTTCGAGCTAAGGGGCCTTTTAAAAAGGGCACATTAGGGTTCCATAAAATTTTAAACATCATTTCTAAAATTTGTACTTTTTGCATTTCATTTCGTTTTTTTTAACCCAAAGGGCTATAAATCAAGGGTTTTTTTAACAAACAAAACCAAAAAAAAAAAGAATCAATTATACTACTTAAAAAAAAAAAGGGATTTTCAATTGTTCTTTCAAGTACTTTTTAAAATAAAAACATTATTTTTTTGTAAAAAAGGGGAAGGAAGGGAAAAGTTTTTTTAAAAATTTTAACAAAATTTTTTTACAAAATAAAAAATTTTAGTAAATTTTTTTCACAATTTCTTTAATCTGTCAAGTTTAAACTTTTTGGGAAAATAAAAAACCGGGAAGAAAGTTTTACGTCTTATGTATTAAAGTAAAATTAAAAATAATGTGAAATCACACAAATGTTATACAAACATAGTGTAAGGATCGTAGCTTATGAAAATATTAATCGTGAAAGTTTTTAAAAGGAATTGAAAAAGGGGTTTTAGTTAAAAACTAAAATTTATTAAAATTTAAAATTTTAGCGAGCCTCTGGGGAGCATAATATTATTTTATCCAACGAGTTCAATAAATTCAGCAATGAACTTAGTACACGAATTTAATATTCTATTTATCACATACCCCAAATAAAGGCCATTTAACGTGAAAAAAGAGAGTCATTTTTCATTGTATGTAACATTTAGCGCGTCTTTACCCTATGAGCCAGAGGCTCGCATAATATATTTTTATTTAACTCGTGTAATGTAATCAGTATTGAAGTTACTCTCATTCAATATCCTCTATTTATTACTAACTGGGATAGATAATCTTTACCCCGCTTGAACAAAAACTGATTAATCATTATTTGCACCTGCAATCCTGCACACCTAAGCACGACCACCCCGTTACCTAAATAGATAAAGAGTTGGTCTGTGAATCGGTCGAAGCGGGTTCGATTGGTGGACGGTGCAGGTCACCCTCGTTGTAGTTGATCATGAAATCCTTTCTACGGCCATTCGCACTATTCGTCTGCTCTGGCAACTAGTACTGGTGAAGTACTTAACAGCCTGCCCAGAAAAAAAAACTATGCTCCGGCGAATTCAAAGTGACCTCGTGAATCGGAGAGATCGTGATTGGAGATAAAAAATTTTGTAAAATAAAAACAGTTGCTTTTTTTTTTTATTAAACCGGTATTTCCGGGGGAATAAAATTTTTAAAAATTTTTTTTATTCTGGGATAATGGGTTTTTGTCACGGGAAACTTTAACAAAATTGAGACTTTTTATTTGCAATTTTGAATTTTGGGGCAGATAAGTTTTAATTTTTCAGAGCCTGCCCAAAAATTAAGTTTTTCATTTTTTCCCCTTTTAGCTTTTTCACGGACAGTAAGCAAAAATTTTACATTTTTTATTCTGAACAGTTGGATTGCACGGGCCCCACAATTTTAAAATTTGTTTAATTTTGCCATTTTTTCGCTATGTACGAAATGATTATATTGATTTGGCAAGAGGTATTGTCACGGAAATAAACATTTTCGTTATATTTTTTACACATTTGTTTATTCTGGCACTGTATGCTTATTGTCACGGAGCCTGTACATAATATTTACAGTTTTGTTTATTCTGGCACTGTTTGGCTACTGTCACGGAGGCTGTACGTACAGTGATATCAACACGGGCCTGAATAACTGTGTGGACGCTGCTACTACATCAACAACCGTAAGATGGTTCTTTCCTCACGGAACACTAGCACAACAAGCAGAATTCTGTCAGTAAGTATTGACATGCTCTTATACTGTAGAAAGTAATCTCATATATTTCAAAACTATTTGAATATAATTTTATAAATTGGTCAATATAGACACAAGCTTGTCATCATATCTACTCTATAAAAGAAACGGATTTTTGCCGATTATTGCAATAAAAGAAAAGTCGCGGAATACTTGTATACCATGCAACTGCGTTTCCAACCCATAGAAAATGTTCCTACTAATTTTGTTTTGCCCATCGAGTTTAGTTTTTTTACACAGTCTATGTCCTGAGTCCTCCCACCTACAGTAACCGCTGAATAATAAGTGGGTAACGCAGCTGCAAATAGATATTGTTTTTTAATAATGGCCTTTCAATAAAGACAATGCTTTTATTTTCATTTTTCAAAAGCTTTGTAATATTAATGTCCTTCGAAAGTTTCCACAACGTTTCTCATTAGCTATTTACCTGCACCATCTTTTGCTGGTCGCTTTTAGGCAATTGGTAAAAATATAGTGAAAAGGTTTCGGAAACCAAAATACTACTTTGTTTACGTTTGCCACTTTTTCACATTCAGAGTTATAGTTTTGTCAGGTGATTAACATCTGAAATACCCGAAAACCATTACTTAAACGTTATAAAACCCAAGTTTGTCCTTGCTAAAGAATGGGAAAAGAATCGTTTTCGAGGCGTCATGGACCTTTAATTAAAGAAGTTTTTATAACGTTACCCATTCTATTACAGGAGTAGTGCTCAGACAACTTTGGCTACATGCATCAACAACATATTCTCGGCCTGCAAGCTTGAGGCGAAAAGTTTAAAAATGTTCGGCACCACTGGGGATAACCTAATTAATGCATACACTAATTTATGCTCTTCATCCTTAGTCAGTAAGTATTAAACTTCTTGATGTAAATTACGGTGTACCGTTAGAGCCATCGCGACAATACAAAAATAGGGTGATGAAGAGTCGAAATAACGGAGCCATGATTGTGAAAAATGAATGTACAATGATGAAAAGTTGAAAGTGCGATAGGGGAATGTCAAAATAACGAAAGCACGATTAGGAAAACTAGATATAATTGCGTGCTTTAACTATCGTAATTGCGACCTTTCACCACCGTGATATTATGTGTGTACTTGATGGGGCATAAGGCAAGTCTAATATGATTTCTCAGGCTGTGTACTGAGTCCAAATATTTTCCATTTTGTGTCCTCTCAATGTTTAATAAGGTAACCTGTTCTCTCTATTCACTTAATAATCAGTCGGTATGATAAAAATCGTATATTGACCATCGAATCTGATTCCTTATAGCGGATGCCCAAGCATGTATGTCAGTTGTATCAGCGACGGCAACGTTCAACGCGGCGGAGACGACATTCATCAGTAGAGTAGCCGCTCTTCCTGACGCCGCCACAAATATAGAAATATGCGGGTATGTTCAGTTTCATGTTATGTAAATTATTCTTGTTCCTCTCACTTTTAACACAGAGAAACATTTATAAAAATAGTTTATCACATATCCGATTTTGCGACTCCATAAAAAGGGTATTGCACGGCCGTGCAAATATTTTGACTTGACGTGATTTGCGTCAAGCTATTCGCACGTCAATGAAAAATGTTTGCTTATCACTTCAAATGGTCTTTATTTTTGGTATGTGATAAATAAATTTTTTAATTCGTGTAAGTTCATTACTAAATGTATTGAACTCGTTGAATAAAATTATATTGTGTTCGCCAAAGGCTGCATAATATACATTTTTTTGTAATTTTATTCAACTCTTCATCATCATCGTCATCACCAAAATCACAAAATCTTTATCACCTTTATCATCATCATCTAGATAATAATGATCACCTCCATCATCACCATCAGCATCATCATCATTTCCATCATCGGAATTTTTACTTTCATCACATCCACCATTGATTTTTTCATAATCATCATCATCATCATCATCATCATCAAAATCATATTTATCATATTTGTCACCACCTTCATAATGTTGATGATGATGATGATGATGATGACAATGATGGCTATATACTGATAATGTTGTTGATGGTGACGTTTTTTTATTATTAAATACTTTGATTATTTATTTCTCTGAGTGAAAAATATTTCCGCCTCAAAGGACTGTTTAATATGATTTTTTTATATCAAGACATTTATTGATTAAGGCTGTAGCATAGCTTTGTTGTCTTCTACGACAGTAATTCAAACTATTTTAATGCTGTAATTTCAATTCGACTTTATTGTCAAGATCGTCTTCAACCAGTTATCCTAGAAGATTGTTATTTAGCATTGAATTGTCTAGAGGTTCTCTACCAAGTGATACTCTTCGGGTCAAATTTGTACAGAATCATGTAACGTTTCCGTCTCGTTATATACAACACAAAGCGAGCCGTCAAAATAACGACGACACAACTTTATTTTCCCATTCACGGCCATGTCAATTGTTTATATACGGGCTTCTGTAAATGTGGCCCCTTTTCTCAAGGTATTTTTGTTTTAATATATGCATGCTAATAAAGTTCTCAAACATCATCTTGTCTGCTACCGAACACATATATAGTCCAGACACCTTTGCTTTGAAAACTATGCTCAGTATTATAAAATTATACCAAGCTTGTTCAAATTATCCCCATTCCTTTTTTTTTCTTCAAGGGCTCGGTACTCTGGTATATCCTGTAACACAAGATTGTGAAAATAACATAGGATTAGTTTTGTTTGTTTGTTTGAGTTTACGTCACACCGACACAGTATAGGTCATATGGCGACGTTCCAGCTTTACTGGTGAAGGAAGACCTCAGGTGCCCTTCCGTGCATTATTTCAGGCACGAATGGGCACCTGAGTAGAATCACCGACGTCCCTTAAGCTAACTGGATATCTTAATCACATGAAAAAATTCCACACAGTGGTGAGGGCCAAGTGATTTGAAGTCAACGAGCTTAACCACTCGGCCACGGACACCCCATTGGATTAGTAAATAGCACGATATTTGACATATTGAACATCTCGCCTTTTACCGCATATATAAAATTCATAATACAAGCCTCTTGTTCTATTTTTAGATTAGCAACATCGATGGAGTACGTTGCCTACAACACACTATTGTCTGTTCCATGCACAGAGCCCTCTCACCTTGCAGTCTGGGCCAGTTTCTTCGCAACTGTAATGGACACGTACGCTTGCACGTGTCTGGCATCAACATATCAACTCAGTCACGTGATCATGTTACTAACTGTGTTGCTTGGATGCTACTATAACGTCGTGACCAGAATTGTGACGTCATAAATATCAGCATAGATTTAATGACTCAAATGATTGTATCGATCGTTTAGGAAATTGACTTTATTGTATTATGCTTTATACTTAAATAAGTTTTTCGTTTAACACTAAATTTGTTTTATCTATTAATCACACACCCTTGCCGATTTTTCGTCTCCATAAAAATGGTATTGGCGGCTGTTTATATATTTTGATGTGACGTCGTTTAATTGAGTTATACTATAGACGCGTCTATATATAGAGGATATTGAATGAGTGTATGTTTAATACTGATTTTATTGAACAAGTTGAATAAATGATAGTTTGCGAGCCTCTGGCGAGCATGATATTATTTTATTCAACGAGTTCAGAAAGACTATTTAAGTGATAAGGCGTCATTTTTTTTATAAACGCGCCTATAGTATTACGCTAACATTCAGCGCGTCTTCAGCGCGTCTTTACACAATATTTCTATAACGCAAATGAGGTCACGTCAAAATATTTGCACGGCTGTGCAATACCATATTTACGCAGTCGCAAAATCGGCACGGGTGTGTGATAGATAGAGGATACTGAATTTATTGCACGAGTTTAATTAATTATATTATGCGAGCCTTTGGCGAGCATAATATTATTTTATTCAACGATTGCAATAAATTCAGTAATGAATTTACACGAATTAAATATTCTATTTATCACATACCCAAAATAAAGACCGTTTAAAGTGAAATAAGAGTCAATTTTCATTGACGCGCCTATAGTATAACGCTAACATTTAGCGCGTTTTTATAACGCTAATGACGTCACGTCAAAATGTATGCACCGCCGTGCAATACCATATTTACGGAGTCGCAAAATCGGCACGGGTGTGTGATAAATAGAGGATATTGAACGAGTGTAAGTTCAATACTGAATTTATTGCACGAGTTGAATAAAATTATATTATGCGAGCCTCTGGCGAGCATAATATTATTTTATTCAACGGTTGCAATAAATTCAGTAATGAACTTACACGAATTTAATATTCTATTTATCACATACCCAATATAAAGACCGTTTAAAGTTAAATAAGAGTCATTTTTCATAGACGCGCCAAAACTATAACGCTAACATTTAGCGCGTCTTTACTCTATGTTTGTTAATGCTAATGAGGTCACGTCAAAATATATGCACGGCCGTGCAATACCATATTAACGGAGTCGCAAAATCGGCACGGGTGTGTGATAAATAGCAATAGATACGTTTACACTTTAAACAGTGTTTTTAATGGAATATTATATTCGTGTAGGTTCAATTAAGATAATCACATGTTTCTGTAAATTAAGAATTAAAGATATACAATGCTCATCTTTGGATAATATTTTTAAAGCAGAATTTTATTGAAATCTAGTTATTTCTTCTTCAACATGTCTTATTTAAATAAGTGAATGCATAAGCTATGTTTGGTAAGCTGTCTTCCCTATTACTAGTCAAATTAATTTGGCGTATTCTTATAAACACTGTCAGCTTTTTTTTATGACACTTTGTAATCAGACAGTGACAACCTGTGGTGTGTAAAATTTTAAACGTTACATATTTTCCTTTTGTCTATTCAAAAGATGTTTATTTTACATTTCAAATATGTTTATTTTACATTTCAAAATAGACTTCATAGTAATTACGATTTTTTTTCCAAACATCAAATTTGAGCGTACTATATCCTTAACTTTACAAAACTGCAAAAACTATCATATAGTTTACCATTAAAATTATGCCTAAATAAAATATTGTTTGTGTGGAAAAAGAAAAAAGAACTAGATGATAGATTATAGGTCTAAATTTGATGAAGGGTGTGGCGTAATCTTTGTTTAAAATACGCCAGTCAACAATACAATAAAAACCCACATGTGCACTTTAATTACAAATTCGTTTGCAACTTTACCTTTTATGTTATAAATTATTATAAATTCACAAAATATTTTTTTGCTTGTTAGTTTTCAGGCTTTTATTATTTATTTTTGTTATTGTTCTCGAGGGGTCTCCGGATCTCTTTTTGACCTGAATATCTTCTATATTTAGGAATTAAAAAAAGACTGTTATATATAAAATGCTGTATTTTTATATCTATTCTCATTGGCCATTTAATTGATTTGCCTATTACGGGTACGATCATATATACATCTATGTTCCACAAAAATTCAACCAAATATTAAATGCATACATAACAGTCACTCACCAACTTGCCCTTGCGACCTATCGCACAAACAGACAAAGTAGAGATAAATAAAGAATCCCTAGAGAAATCCCAACAAGACAAAGTTGAAAACGTTGCAGGCTCGGTTTGATTGAGCATATTCATGGATGGCAATGGGAAGTGCAAGTTACCGGCCACGCCCCATAGCATCGGCTTAAGCAGAATTCAACATTTAATCATAGAAATGGTGAAATTTTGAATTTAGAAACATCCGCAGATGTGCTCATACGGCGGTTATCATGGAACCTTAAATGTTCCATTCTCATGCTATTCCATTAAAAACGGCGCATGGTCCAAAATAATAGAAAAACTTTCCTAAACATATCTCAAAAGTACTGAGGAAAAGACGACGTGTAAATTGTTATAGTCTATGTACACATAACAATGCTGGTGATTTGACCGGACCTTATCTAATTTTGATACAATATAACTGACATTGTCTCCACAACTTAGCTTCCTCAAAGTTTTACTTCCTTTAACGAAACACGTAATGTAATTTGCCAAAATAATTTTTGAAAGGGCAGAACAATTTTCTTAATATGTCATTGTACTGATATATACAAGCTATCCCAGTCATTTCCCCTGAAGAATTTCTTAAAAAAAAGTTTGCATTATTGGCTCATATGATATTCCAATTAGAGAAAATGGTGTTCTATGTATATTTCGCTCAGTTATTCTTCATTTATTTTTCTAAATAAATACATTTTTTGAAAAAGAAATTTTTTGTGTGTCTTTTTATTGAAATTCAATTTTAATTTTTTGTAACTCTTAACTATTTGAGTTCTCATGTTATCATTTAAAGTTAGACCAGCCTACTTTCGTTGTCAAATAAACATGAATGTGTCACTTTTTATTTATCTAAATAAATTTATAAACTTTGATACATACGTGAATCCAACCTAATATGTTAAAAACTACTGAATATGTTGTTATGAAACCAACTCATTTCGGTATAAAATTCACGAGTGAGAAACAGTAATAAAAACTTTAACCATTATTTAAAATAAACTTATCGTGTTAAATTAAGATAGGATTTTTTAAAATCATGGTTGTATGATGATCCCCTCGAACTATGGCATGCAGTTTGCCATAGCCTGTCTAATGACCTTTGGTCTGTGCTTCCTAACTTGGTTGAAATATTTACAATGTTAAATTGTACCAATTCACAATAATTGAGAAATTTACATTCACGGAAACAATTGTGACATTAACCAGAAACAATAATATAAAGATAGCATGAATTGTTCTGAAATTATCATAAATGATACTTGTAATGTACAGACTTTTATCGACAGATATGTCCCTTAAGATTATAAGCAAAAATCAACACACTTTATTCCTGAAATCATTATCAAAATCATAGAAATGCTGAAATCGCAAGACTAAATAAGAATTTATGCCTTAAAAATCGATGTCTTTGTTATAGCACAATACATGTTAATAATATTTGTTTCTAAAAAATCATAAGATGTACTTCACATAACTGATAAACACCCAACCCGTTGACTTATATGGCAGATGGTTAATCCCTGGGATCTCTATTTCTAACACGATCCCAGTTTTCTTACCATTTATGATTTATCTGAAATAAACCAAATATTTAATTCAAAAACCTATTTTGATATACATTGTAATTATAATGTCTTATTTTTTATACAAATTGTTTAAACCTGTAGGGTAGGTTTTATACGTACGTGCTTAAAACGTTAACAAATAAATAAAAGATATCTCTATAAGTCATCAAAGTATAACAGGTCTACACTCCGTCAGAAACAAAATATACAGATATAATTTTTTATTTTCCTGAAAAACTCTTACATACCATAACGCATCTAAAACAAAGTGCAAGACTAATCTATAATATCAATAATACCTATGGCAGGTGGTTAATTTCCTAGGATTACAATATATTTAAAACGAACCCGAATCCCGGCTTTTCTAAAGACAACCCACACATACGCGTTGCTCATATTGGGAAAAATTTAGCGGGTGTTCTCCCTACGTGATACCATGATACTGTACATACAATTTACACTTGTATTACCTGCAGTTATATATAAGCTCAAAAACATTGTCCGAGTAATGAATAATTATCATAATCTCAAAACGTTTATTTTCATTGTCCTCAAATTCTTCTAATTCAAATTCATTATACACATATCACGCCACGTTTGTTGGCCCCTTCCTTAATTTTCATTAATAAACAAACAAGCTAGAACGCAATATAGGTGCACACAATAACAAGATTTTTTTATTAACCGAGTGCACTTTTAAGTGCACACCACCTTCAATGTTTTGATCGTATCAAAACCAAAACCGCTTGTCTAATAAATAAGAGCAATTTACGCTTATCAATGAGGTTAACAACGCCAACGTACCGGAACATAATTACGTTACGTTACGTAAGAAGTTGTTAGTGTAAATAATGTTTAACGTGCATATGATTTGTAACACGTTATTGCAATGCGTTATAAAAGGAGTTTCGCACTTCTGAAATCTGCACAACAAATACCATTCTCAACACTTGTACATCTCACGAAATACAGAAGACAAGAGACAAAACTACTAAATACAATTATTTTAGGTAAGTTACAATTTATATGTTTTAATTAATTTCCATTTTATTAACTGGTCTTGTAAACAAACTGATAGTGTTTAAGTAGTTTTAGTGAGTGTCAAAAATCTTAAAGCATATGCTTAAAAATATTTGTACAGATCTAATGGGGAACTTCACATGGAAAATATATGCAAACATTAAGAAAGAAATACATGTATAATGTACTTGAGACACAACTACTATGGTCAATTTGAGTGCGACCGAGAGCTATACAAAAATTTAAAGATATACTATGCTCAAATGTATTTTAGAAAAAATTTAAATTACTACAAAGTCTCTATGTAAATATAAAATAAACATGTTTGACTTCACACAATGTAGATATGTTATGTTTAAAATTCTACCCTCTGAAGGTGGTCACAATATGAATATATAGTGTCATTAAAAACTGACAGTTATTTAGGAAAGACTAACTTTTCTTGGCCTGTAACATGGGACACAGCCTGCTATACATAGTTTGTTCATTCTTTTATTCAAATTTAGATATATTTAATAAGAATTTCATAGATTTTAATAAATTTCTATGCTTTATATATTCTACTAAAATGAAACGAAATTAGTTTGAATTTTTATCAGCTCGTTAAACTCGTAAAAGGGAGACACAGGCAAAATTTTCCTTTCTTCGTTTTGATTTTTTCATTCATAATTCTGTAAATGTACACGAACAAAACCTTTCTCCTTATAAAAAAAAAAAAAAAAAAATCCACAATATCTGTTTCTGTAACTTCCATGGTTTGTTCAAGTCACTTGTCTAGTTTTAAAAATTCACAGTGATTCTGTTGGCGTCTAAATTTCGTTCAACAAATATAGATATATTTACGCTTCAAACCAAAAATATATAGAATTTGTACATAAAATGATGGGACTTTAACAAATGTAATTTTAAGGTGATTTGAGTACATAAGATAATTTTGATATTTTCGTAATGTTTATATTAAATAAACATGAACAAAGTCGCTTTTTTGTTTACTTAATTAAAGCCTAATTGTTTGTTGCTTAGTCCTGGTAACAGGCTTTTATTTTTAATTTAACAAGAATTTCACTACTTAAAAATCTTCTCAATAAGTCATATAAAATCGACATGGTTCTGGAAGCTTGCTGATAAAAGCGCTTAGCGCTTTTCAATTGACATCTCTTCGAAATTTTGTTTGGTGGGTTGGACAAAAATTAAATTATCACTAAAAATTATCACTAAAAATATTAATTATTTGCTTTGTGTAAAACATTATTTTTTATAACAAAGATCTTACTGTAAACCTTTTCTGTTGATATTCATAAAGGAAAAAATACATTTGTAAGTGGTTTCATAAAGCAGTATACAATTTGTTTCTTTTTTCTCTAGGTTTGGAGAGCCGTACCCCGATTCAACATGTTGCCAGCGATATTCCTATCATTTGCCATACTGTACACGACACACGCCAATTCTTTGGATGAGCTCTGCACAACTAACAAGTTCACTAAAGAAGCTGGACATTACAAGCACCCAACAGACTGTGACAAATTTGTCCAGTGCCACTGGGAATTAAACAGACTGGTTGCAGACGTTCGTCCATGTTCTTTCCCAACGTTGTGGAACACAGACCTTTTAACTTGCGGATCTGTCGACGTTACAACATGTAACAATGACAGATGCAAAAGTTTACCTGATGGTATCTTCTTTGGAGGGCATAACAATTGCAGGGGGTTTTGGGAATGTGAAGGAGGCAAATCACAGCCAAAATGTTGTCCACTGGGGCAAAGATTTGACAAAACCGACGGGTGTATAGACACAATCAATGAAGATGATGAATGTAAAGACAGTTGTATGGGAATTGTTTACGAATCGAAGAATGATACAACAAATAACACTAAAGTCTGCGAAAAAGAAGCTATTCCTAAACAGCCAGGGTTTTACAGATTTTTTCAATTAGGATGGGGATTCCGGGATCTGCCCTGTCCCCCTGGTACAAACTTTGACCAAGACGCTTGTGACTGTATTACTGCCACTGAACCTGCGAAAAAGGCCGAATGCAAACCTGAAATCCATCTCACTTTTACAGACAACCAAACAACAAGTAATGGTCATTTTCTAGATGCAGAAAATGTAATGATAAAGGAAGGCGTTGCTGAATTTAATGGCATTGATAGTCGACTCAGTATTCCAAGATTCAACAACATTGAACACAGTAAATCGCTCGTCATTCGGATGACATACAATTCTACCCAAGAAGTATCTCAATACCCACAGGTCATTCTTTCAAACAGTGGCTGTGGAATTCTCCCATCTGTTCGGATATCAGAAAACGCTGACAACGTTATGTTTGAAGTCGGAACCACAAGACATTTTATGGTATCGACATCAGTAAAGCAACCATCTAATGTAGAGAAAACAGTGGAACTGAAGTTTGCTAATGGTGTTTTAATGGGATCAGTAAACAGCGAGACCTCGGCAATTGCTGCTGACGGCTTTCTGAGAAATGTTCATTGTACACTAAATATTGGCTACGACCAGAAGTTAACACCATTTAAAGGCGTTATCAATGAGCTTTCTGTTTACTTATGTGATCCTGAGCAGCACTAAACAATTTTTTTTTTTTTTTGTAAAAAGTATCCATGTATTCTTTCGAATCTGTTTCTTTTGTTTCAATGCAAATATTTGTTTTCCGTAAAATTAGTTTTTTAGCTTCCAGTTGATAGTGTGCAGGCTCTCATACCCCCCGACTGTTGTACTCAATTAACATTAATCTATATTCTAATTCTCTACATCCCAAAAGTATTAGTGAGTTATCTACTCGTTGATAATATTTACATGTTTAAATATGTTTAAGTCCAGTAATGTCTTAAATGTCTCATTTTTTATTTGTATTGTCTGCTTTTCTTTTGTATTACTTGTCTATGAAGACTTTGTTCATCGACATCATAATTTATAGTTTTGCTCAGTATTTTTGACATTTGTCATTGAAATGCGAATTCCATTTTTAAAATAAAAAGTCTTTTTTAAAATCTTATATACCTGTTTTTATTCATTTTCATCATTGTATTTTAAACCTTGTCTGAAGACTGATTTTAGCAGTATAACAAATTCAAAGAAAGTATTATAAGTCGTCTGCCCTAGATCCCACACCCAGATATACATGTTCAAATGTACTTTATAAATAACCCTGTATATTAGAGGAATTTTATAGATAAAATGCTCACACTCTTGCAAAACACTTGGAAAGACCTTCCGACCCCAACAATGTCCCTAAAACGGATAAGATATAAATCAATATGATTCGAATAATCAATAGCGAACAATTTCAATTAATAGGCCATTAAGAGAAATATAACCAGCAATGTCTAAATATAAACTATTTGTCCTCAACGCATTTTAGCACGAGTTTCTATCCTTTAATAAGAGAGCAAATAGACTTACCACGAAATTAAAAATATTTTGGGTTTCCCCCCAGCTTATCTATGGTACAAACAACATTATACCTTTAAAGCTTCGAAAATAGGTGCAACATACTTATCTTTTGTGACCTCTAGTGCATAATACAGCGTGTCTTTGTACCGGGGGATTAGGTTGGGAAAACCCACAATTGACTAGTTCCGGATAATATCTAGTAAATTGAGTTTTTTTTATTCAATATGAAATTACATGCTTTTATAACAAATGGCAAATAAAGATATGTTGCATGCAAGCAGTTTCGTAGACAAAGAAATATATAACCTTTTTCAGGTATAAACATACCGTTAAAGAAGTAGCAAAATGTCCATACACGGTTTACTAGGCCATATAATAGTGCTCGGTGATATCGTTACAAAATTACTCTGTTTTAACAGAAATCTGTCTAAACACGTTTTCGCTGAAAATGTCTTATCATTTAGAACTCTATGCTTGTATAGATTAAGTCCAAGTAAAAACATGATAATAAAATCAATTATAAAATAAGATTGTGCATCATAATTTATATCAGTAACAGTTTAAAAGGAAATTAAACACTTAAACTATCACTCAACAACAACATATCTTCAAGTCCAATAAGCCAAACGAACCTCAAGCTTATATACCCTATTGGTTGTCCATGCAGCTGGCATAACGTGCTTAAGTGGACTGACGCGTGACCCACTTGCGGACACCAGTCTGCACGACTCCTTTCGCAACCTGAATGCTGTGCGTGCTGACATGCCTTAACAATGTTCAAAATGGCGCACAATGTTTGTACAGGTAACAAACATAAATACAAAAAATACATAAATATCCAGGTTTACTCAATATATTAAATTTTTATATAATAATTGTCAAACAGTGCAACTTACAAAATTCGCAGTATATATACAGATAATTCCAGTAAGAATGTCATAATACAAATATGTATACATAATTCGCTAAAGAAGTCATTCAAAAGGTCAGATTTCAATTTTAAATAAAAAAGAACATTGCAACCCAGTGCAGCATAAACTTACAAAAAAGAAATATATTTGCACTATTTATGGTATACAAGATTGATACGCTTACTTTAGATTAACTTTTCTTTAAACTTGTTAACAGTAGAAACAAGAAGTCTCTTTTGAAAAGATACTCGGCCGAAGTAAAACTGGTTAACATGCAAAATCAAGTTATTTCTAAGTTTTCAATACAAAAGGAAATGTTAGCAATGTTTCCTAATAAAGACATTATAATCATTTCTTGTAGCTAAGAATTTTGTAAACATTGAAATTAAATTATAGCATATTGTATTGATGGTTTTTTAAAGTAGGACAACTTCTTTTTGAAGAGTCCCTTTTACTTGTTTTACGTTTGACTTTATAAATTTTGTAATCATTTACAAATTAACCTAAAAGTTAAAGATCTATACTCATTCCTGAACATTTTATTTTAAAACTATCCTTTGCATTTTATTTATAGTAGCAAATCTGTTCCTTACATTTTATCTTAGAGCTATCATTAAAATGTTATTTTAGAATGATATGAATTGTCCTTAACATGATATTTTAGAACGATCAATGAGATTCAACGACTTCAGTTTGTAATTTCAAAATGATCAATGAAAATTCGTCTCATAGTCAGTACTTCCCTGTTAATTTTACAGAAAGTCAATTTTACAGACGTACTTTGTTCGAAAAAAAAACCCTGCGAAAATCCCTTTTATATAGCTCAACATTTCAACCAAGCAAACTGTATTTAGACACAGCAGCAAGGAGTTCCATAAATGAAATCTGATGTTTTTTGGAGATGATGAAGGGCAAAAAATTGTACTTGAAGTTTCCGCGCCTTTGCTATAATCAGAACCAGGGTGCCAGGGAAAGCTGATTCGATGTGACCTTAACTGGCTCCGTGATGAGGAATGATCATATCTAATAATAACTGAGCTGTGAATGTCTTTGGCTGTTAATGACCCAATTGTTTATGAACGAAATGAGAAATTGGCCAGTGTCATTAAATGTTGTTAAATATTCTCATATGTGATATTTTAAACTATTGTTAGACTTCATTATTATCACTGTCGAATTGTTATGTTTTCGTTGAAATGAACCAACGAGGATAAATTGTTAGCATTGGAGTAATAATCTATATTGATTTCAATAAGAGAACGAATACAATGCTTAAACTTTTAAATTAGATAAGAATCCAACATCCCCCAACATATAATTCATTTGATATCCAACAAATAAACTTCCCTGTTAAGAACGTGCTACAGTTTTCCTAGAAATACAAAAAATAAAGACAAAATAAAAAAAATAGGAAAAGTACAATTCCTCACATTCCAAAGTAGGTATATAAATAGGTATCATCAGTGTCTTTGTCGGTATTTGCTGGAGTGTCTTAGAGGTATTTTCAATAAAGAATTTCGAAAACTCATTGAAATTATTGAAAATGGTAAGTTACACTTTTTAAATTTCATTTTTTGATAAAGATACATATACATATATTATAAGTTTTTGATCGTCAATAGATTGTATATGAAAGAAATGTATTTATTATTTTTTCTATCATTATTTGTTTTACACATAAATATAATGATTTTATTCCAATATGGCACCTCTGCTGGATTTAAAATTTTTCAAAATGAAAAAGAATAGATAAATAAATGAAAAAAAAACACAACAGAAAAAAAATGTTGTAAAAACGAAAATGTTTTAAGACTGTTTAAATCTTAAACTTAACGTAAAAAACTGTTAATTTAAATCATAAAACCAGTTTCGATTTTTGTTTACATGTTTAACTTGATTTACAGCATCTATATGTACTATTTCTGAATTTTAAGTGTTTTAACATACATATTGTTTGATTTTATCAACCCGTTAATTGCATACTGATTATTCGGACAATACACACAATATAATAATAAGTCTTTGATAGACTTTCGGTTTCATGAGGTTAACACAGTAAGATGCGATTAAATCTAAATTGCGTCTATGAAATAGTTATACTGAGCGTTATAGCGAAAAGGAAAGTATGTTTCCTAGAACAGATTCCTAAACTTTTAAACGAGATAAGAAGCTATCACCCATGATATAGTTCACTAAATGTCACATGTTAAAGTAAAATAAATGAACTTCCCTGTTTAGAATATGACAAAGTGTAAAGAAATGCAATAAAAAAAAAAAAAAAAAAAAAAAAACAGTTCTAGGGAGCAAACTTTCATTTTCATATCCCAAATGTAGAGAAGTGGTTATATAAAGAGTTTTTTTTATCGTCAATGGATTGTAATATGTAAGACATGTATCTGTAATTTTTTGTCCTTATTTGTTTACACATGAATACAATGACTTAATTTCCACATGTCACAACAGTTTGATTTCAAAAAATTCAAAAGAAAAAAACAACAAAACAACAACAACAAAAATAAGAGGGCCATGATGACCCTGAAATCGCTCACCTGTATATAAAACTCTCAATGAACAAGAATGATTTTGACCCTCATGACAAATTTTTAAACTCAAGCTCTTTTGGTTTTTCAAAAGAATATTTGCCATGGCAACCAGACTTCTGCATGGAATTAAATTCTTTGAACAATTTTCAAAGGTGACCACCAATGGAACATTTCTGTGAAGTTTGGATGAAAATGGCTTTAATGTAAAAGTTTAGACGACGGACGGACGCCCGACGAAAAGCGAACACAAAAACTCACCTTGTCACTTTGTGACAGGCGAGCTAGAAAGTAAATGCACGGACGAACGGACGACAAACAACAGTGTCACAAAAGCTCACCTTGTCACTCTACAGTTCCCCTTTTCATATTTGAACAATCTTTGTAGAGGACCACTAGCTCATGTTACATACCAAGTATCAAGGCTCTACGCCTTTTATGACTTTGAAAAGAAGATTTTTTTAAAAGGTTTCCTTATATAACTTTATATAAGTCTGAGGAATCCACTGGCAGGGCCCCATTGAACCTTAGGATCATTATTTGAATATTCTTTTTAGAGGACGAGTAGATGATGCTACATACCAAATATCAAAGCTGTAGGCCTTGTGGTTTTTGACAAAAAGGTTTTGAATTATATTTTTTTAATCGATAAGCCCCTGGCAGGACACCTTTTCATCCTAGGGGCATAATTTAAACAATCTTAGTAGAGGACCACTAGATCATGTTACATACAAAATATCGAGGCTCCACGCCTTGTGGATTTTGAGAAGAAGATTTTCACTATAAAACTTTATATGAAGCCGATAAACTCCCTGGCAGTGCTCATTTTGATCCTTGGTGCATAATTTGAACAATCTTTGTAGAGGACAACTAGATGATGTTACATACCAATTATCAAAGCTGTAGGCTTTGTGGTTTTAGACAAGAGTATTTTTAAAGACTTTTTTGCAAAAATTGAATAACCTTCATGGCGGGACCCCTTTTGACCTAGGGCCATAATTTGAACAATCTTTGTAGAGGACCACTAGATCATGTTACATACCAAATATCAAGACTCTAAGCTTTCTGGTTTTTGACACGTAATTTTTTTAAAAGATTTTCTTTAGAAAATAAACTCTTTTGGTTGCCATGGTAACCAGAGATCTTCAAGGAATTTAATTCTTTTAACAACTTTGGTAGAGCTTGCCAACAGGTTTCATTAAGTTTTGCAAAGCGGAATTGGAGGAGTAGACATTTGAATAAAAAAGTTAACGCGTTAACGCACGAACGGACGGACTGAGCGGTATAGCGTAAAAAAAGTTTAGCCCCCCCCCCCTGGCACGTCCAGTGCAGAGCCATGGTAAGGGTCCAAGGGGGCGCGGGAAATTTTATCAACGACGTCAGCTTGAATCTCCCTGTGTCTGTGTATGTGCAGAGAGGCCAAAGAGGCGCCCAGTGGTCTTTGTCAAGCACAAGAAAAACTTTGACTTCTCATGTTGCTGATATGTCGTCGATTAACAAAATGGCGTTAGGAAAATAACTTCTACGCTCAATGTAGTTCAACAATTTTTTTATTAGTTCTCTTTTTATAAACACGTTAGAATGGAAATATATTTTCTTTTTGTATAATAATGTTGCGTTATTACGCAAAACAAAAGTCGTAGTAACGTACTTCTTGTTTCGCGTTATCACGTCATAACGCCTTCATTCGCGTTATTACGCCATTCCAATACTTTATTGTATTTAAAATTGCATTTCTCCAGATGAGCAAAACAAATCCAAGAAAATCAAACTACAGCAAAATGTAAAGCAAAAGGGTTCGAGATTCAATTAATGATTTACATGTTTTGTGCGATTTATGACTGATTTTGCAGTATATATCACCATTTTTTTCTACTTTGGGAAACTTTTCCATTATCCCTCATGAACAAAGTCTGCATTTTTTTCTGTAATTTTGTTGTTAATTATGCATCTGCATTATCGGGGATCACCTATTTCCATGTTTTTGTATTGTAGTAAAAACAGATTGTTTTAACTTATAATGTATAATTATATAAATAAAATAATATATATATATATAAGTTCATACTCTAACTTGTGTGGTGTGGCTTGCAACTTGCAAGTCTGCTCAGCATAAGTTATAACGTACAATTGTGTTGTCTACATAACATTTTTTATACCTTTAATTTAAAATTTTGAATTTCAGGCCGATCCAGGGTCAACATGGGCAAGTGATAGAAAAGAAACCATAAAGGAACTTCGACAACTTGGGGAGAACATGAATGAACATGCTAAGAACGCGAAAATTGCAAGTGCTATCGGGGGTGGAACAAGTTTTGCAGCCCGTTTGGGTGCGGCTGCATGTTATATTGCAGCACCTTTCACGTTTGGTGCAACCCTTGCTCCTGCAGTTGTACTTACAGGAGCAGCTGTTGCTGGGGGTATAACATCAATTGGCGCAACCATCACCAATCATTTTATAGAGAAAGGTTATATCGGAAGAGTACAGGAAGCTCTTGATAAAGACAGATCATCGTTTAATGCACTGAAGAAGGCTATTGATAAGGCTAGGGAGATATCGTTAGCAGAAGGAATAGAGAGTGATGTAAAGATAGGAAAGAGCATTCTCGGTGAACTCAAATTTGAGACAACCGTAGCTCGTATGCTTGTTTTGCCTGAAGAAGCCGCAGCCACTCTCTTAAGGCTTGGACAGACTGCTCGCTTTGTTGGCCACGCTTTTGCTATGGTAGCTCTGCCGCTAGATGTCTTGTTTTTTGTTAAAGATGTTTGATTTGTCAAAAGGAAATGTTTCCGAGGCTGCTAAAAAGGTTATGGAGCTAGCTGATGAGTTAGAAAAAGAACTTGAAAATATTATGGCTGACGCATAGATAAAAGCATACTGTCGATCTTATATTGAAAATAACATATCACTATATGTAACAACGAATAACACTATCATTATAAAGAAAAAAGATGTTGGTTTTTTAATGATTTTTAAAACATTTTTTTTTCCACAAAAAAGGTTAAGAAATAAACATAATTTACTTTCTAAACTTTTTTTGTTGATTTAATTATACTACCACTTAAAAGCATAAAGCATACTGTGGTAAGGTCTGTCAGGACGCCCTGGCCAACATCTTAAATATATTTTATCACCTTCATTCCGTCCATGATGTTAGTTTAAAAAAAGGAAACCGGTTTGTACTGATTTATATGGCCAGTGCAACAAAAAATATCACAGAAAAGGCCAAATCCAAACGTTGTATTTCTATCATTTCTAAAAATTATCCGTAAACATAGCATTTCTCTTAAAAGACATTTATTATTTTTTGTTCCTTTTTTTTTGGGGGGGGGGGGGGTTAATATTTTGTACTTATGAAAAATAGTTTTATATTGCTTGTAGGTTTCTTTAATTTTTTATCAAACATTGTTGTTTAACGTCAGTATATATAGAAATTTACATCTAAGCCTTAGGCATAATAGATATGAGTTTATTACTCATAATACTGAATTTAACTGCTTATTTCACTAATGGCTTACTTTGTATATAAATACATGTTTAGATATAATTATAATTTTTTTTAAAACATTATAAGTAATCAAAAAATAAATTGTAATTATATCAATTGCTTGATTGTATGACATACCCAAACAGATTACGTTGAACTGTGTTTTAGAATATCTTATCGCTTAAATTTGTGACACACATATATTCACCAAGCACTATTTGTAAAAAGGAGATGTTAATTATCAATAATAATTTACACCATTAAGATTCACTAAATTTTATGTTTATAGTGAAATATGTAGTGTGACGGAAACGTACTTTTAGAAACAAAATAAGAGACTATGTGGAACATATAATTTGAAATTTTGAACCATGTTTTGATGTGGGTCTATATGTAAAAGCAATGAATGAAGTTTGTGTAATTTTTGGAATATTTGTTTCAACGAATTAAAGAAAAGTTAGGTTGATATTTAGTTTGTGATTGCATACGAATGATTTTTTATGTAATTTGTTTTGTAAATTCTGAAATGTATTTTTGCTTAACCAAGCTTAAGATTCCATACCATTTTAATCATGTATAGGTAAAGATATTAAATCAGAAACATGCGGGGCTCCTGAAGTCGGAGGCGTGGGTATTGTGACGGAAACGCATTTTATGGGTAACTTTATTGCCTCCCCTTTCTATAAGTTCGCCATTTGTATTGGAAAAAATAATAATGTATTTGTAAATTTATCATGGTATAAAGAGTAGGTATTTTAATCATTTTAACTTTCAAATCAGATAATCTAAGGGCATCCTTCAAATTGTTTATAAGTTACAGTAGTTCATATTGGAAATAACTTTAAGTAACAGAGGCTTATAAGATTTTGTTAGAATCAGTATCAAGAAATGTTTTATTTTTATTAGCCAATCAAAATAATTGTTTTTATTCACTTCGGAGATGGTGCATCAACAATATAAATAGAGCGGACGAAGTGCTGAAGAGTCAGAAAGGGGCCTCCGTGGCCGAGTGGTTAAGGTCGCTGACTTGAGATCACTGGTCCCTCACCGCTGTAGGTTCGATCCTCACTTGGGGTCGAAATCTTTCATGTCAGGAAGCCATCCAGCTGGCTTACGGAAGGTCGGTGGTTCTACCCGGGTGCCCGCTCGAGTCTGAAATAATGCCCGGAGGGGCACCTGGGGTCTTCCTCCATCAATAAAAGCTGGAAAACAATCGACGAAAAAATCTCGGCGGGACGCTCTAGGATGGCCCGACTTGAGTGTACTGTCGCCCATATGGGCTTTCCGGCGGCGACCTTAAATAAACGCATTAAAAAAGTGAAGAGTCAGTTTTGTTTCGTCCGTTAGGCAGATCAGAGCAGTATTATATTTACTGGTACACAGAATCTCAGATATCAGGTGCTAAAAATATCTAACTGTTTCTGTGAAACCTCATAAAAACAACGTTTAATAGAAGAAAGTTGAGATATTGGTATTTAATTTTAAGTTAGTCTGAATATTTCTTGCATATCAGACTGGCGTTTCCGTTAGTTTTACCCCTTCCGGAAATTTCATCTGGCACGGGGGGTTCCAGATGAGTGGCGTGCTGTACAATGGCACGATAAAGATGACGCCATTTTACCGTGATGAATGATTTTGTAATTCATACGCTGTTGAAGAAAATAGTTACGGTTGTAATGATATAAATTTTCATTGAAAATAAAGATAAAAAATTTAAAATAAAATGGAATATGGTAGAATATGCAAGAAAAAATATCTGTCATATGTTTGCGGTTCGGATCGGAATATCCGTCCCGAGGTGACCCGCCCATTGGGCGGTAACGAGGCTTTGATATTATTAGTCTGTGTATAGAAGAGAACGACGTAGTAAATACATACTAGTGTACAGAAATTTCAGATATGTGACACCAATGACGTTTTACTACTACTGTCATACCTGGAGAAATATTTATGTTGAAGTAATTTTGGAGAATAGATATATCAATTTTGTTTGGTTATGTCCTTGTAAGTGTCGGATCGTATTGATAAAGTAACTTAACATTTTCCTGTACACAGAAATCTCAGATATCTGGTACAGAAGTGTTCTATTGTTTCAGTAAGACCTCTCGTGCCAACGGTTGATGAGAAATAATATTTTGATTGAATTTAAAGATAATAGTTACTAGTACACAGAAATCTCAGATATCTGGAACTAAGGATGCTATACTTACAAGGCAAATTATTAATGAGGAACTATTTTTATGAATGTTCGAAGTTTTAGAAATGTAGGATATGAGGTTGTTGGAATGTAAATGTAGGGGATGAAAGATAGTTTTACCTTTCGACTGATATTTGTTTGAGAATTGTTTTTGAAAATATAAATTGTTTATTTTGGAATGTACAGTTTTGAATGATTTAAGAAGTAGATTAAGATTGTTATTTTGCAATGAATGTTTCTTTAGTTATTTTCCAATCACTAGGATAAGTATCCCGAGAAAAAATACATGTATTTGCATTTAAGAGTATCAACATTTATCTGATTTTATTTTGTAGCAATAGATTAAATATTCTAATGCACAGTACACGCTACAGTAGCAGAAGAATAGTTCAAGTATATTAAGTATATTAATCATTATATTGTACAATAATAAAATTTGATTTCAGCTCATTTTGCTTTGCTGCTAATTGATTAACTAATTGAAAGGCAACAACTGTGACAAACATGATTTACCCTAAAATATGCGGACAATATGCATACACTAACTTGGTACTGATCATTCCTGTAAAGTTTGAAATTGCACCAGTAGTGTCTAAGGAGAGGTAGACTATAGCTTAGTGATCTGAATAAATTGTGGTTACTTTGTAGCATGTACCAGCTATTGTGTAACAGGCGACACAAAACCCGGTCAAAATGCCTTTTATATTCAAGTGCCATAACTCAGCGAAACGTTATTCAGTTGAAACAGTCGTGTAATTTGCACAAGAACTTGAGGTGCGAATCAATTCTGTTAAATTTAATTCAAAATGCTTCAGGAGTATAAGATAGGTAGCCCGAAAAAAATCATTGAATTGCAAAATGCCGACGATACGAACAACTGGACTTGGTACGTATCATTCCTGTAAAGTTTGAATGAAATTGCACCAGTATTGTTTGAAGAGTAGTTCGAACAATTTTGTGATAAAGGACGGACGTTCCCTCTCAGCTGACGTTCTGGTTTTTTGATCGTCTTTGATCTAAAACACATCGCCTACTGACAACGTTTGTTCGTCCCATATTTTTCTGATATACTTTTACTTAGAAGTGATATGTTTTCGCATTTATACGATGGTTGCATGATACGCCAATTTGGATCTGTCTACTTTTTTGTATTATATTTGATAACGTGTGCAAACGCACGGACAAATCTTCGTTTACATTTGCAGTCATCGCTAATATGTACAGCACGGTTTCTTTTTTCTTTAAAGACGGGGATCCCGGGAATGAATCACACTGTTGACATATATTTTGCCCATATAATGTCCAGGAGACACAGAAGTGACATATAACACCGCGGACAGGGCTACAATGCAAACTAATTTTGCGTTACCATTTGAAGATGAAAGCTCTACGGTCTTATTCTTAAATTTTCATGAATGTTTATTTAAACAGTAGGAAAAGAATTGTGTTTAAAACCAACCAAATACCAAACCAAAAATTTATAAATCTGAGCTATAGATTCTGAATTTTAATCTAGATTAAGTCGCCGCTTAAGACTAAAAGAATTTAACATGTTAGCAAGGACACTTGACACCATGACAAAATCAATGACCAGTTGCGTTCACCCCCTTTCTTTTTTGCTCTTCCTCCTAAAAGGCATGAAATTAATAAAAAAAAATGTTTTAGATTTACATTTATGATCAAATGAAAATATGAAATCTTCTCTCGGTGAAATATAATAATATATTTTTATCTTACACTAAAAAATCCTCTATATAGTTATCAATTTTCTAGCCGGTATATCCGAGTCTTCATATTATTTTATTCCCTGTTTAGATTTATTTGTTGATTGCCACATAATTGAAACAAAATGCATATAGTGCATATAGACACAGCAGTAAGTAGTTTCATTAATGAAATCTGATATTTTTGGAGATGATGAAGGGCTAAATATTGTACTTGAAGTTTGCACGCCTTTGCCTTAATCAGAACCAGGGTGCCAGGGAAAGCTGATTCTATTTGATCTTTACTGGCTGCGTGATGAGGAATGATCATATCTAAAAATAACTGACCTGTGAATGACCTTGGCTGTTAATGACCCAATTGTTTTATAACGAAATGAGAAAAAAATTGACCAGTGTCATTAAAAGCGGTTTAATATTCTCACTGAATGATATTTTAAACTATTGTTAGACTACATTTTCATTACTGTCGAATTGTTATGTTTTTCGTTGAAATGAATCAACGAGGATAGATTATTAACATTGGAGCAATATTCTATATCGAATTCAATTAGAAAACGAATGCAATGCTTAAACTTTTAAATCAGGTAAGAATCCAACATCACCTAATATATAGTTCATTAGATATCCCACGATGAAGTTAAGTAGATAAACTTCCCTGTTTATAACGTGCCACAGTGATCCTAGAAATACAAAAAATAGGAAATGTACAATTCCTCACATTCCAAAGTCAGAGAAAGTTAGGTATATTAATAGGTATTCTCAGTGTCTGTGTCGGTATTTGCTAGAGTGTCTAAGAGGTATTTTTCAGTAATGAATTCTGAAGAATCATTGAAATCATTGAAAATGGTAAGTTACACTTTTTTTATTACATTTCTTGATAAAGATACATATATATATATATATATATATCAAAAGTTTTTGATCGTCAATACATTGTATAAACAGGAAATTTATTGTTTTTATCCTTATATTTTACATATGCATAAAATGATTTTATTCCAATATGGCACTACTGCTTGATTTAAAAAATATCAAAATAAAAAAGGAATAAATACATAAAAATCAACAACAGAAAAACTTTGTAAAAACAAACCAATATGTTTAAGACTTTTTGGATATTAAACTGTATGTCAAATAAAACCAGTTCCGAATTTTGTTTACATGTGTAATTTGATTAACAGCATTCATGCACTATTACTGTACTTTAAGCATATTAAAGATCTTATAACACAAATTTTTATGGTTTTATATCTTAAACATGATGTATCAATTTTGCAAGTTCCAAAAAGCATTATTAATACAGATATTACCGAATTACCATTTCATGTAAATAAAGGGAGGTTATAGAACAAATAATTTCTATTATGTCCAAGTCAAATTTTTAATAAGAAATGAATGCATATATTTTAATGATTAAATATAATATGTACAAATATTTGCAGTACATATTTTACATATTCTTCGATGTTTAAAAATTGTTTTATAACCATAATTTCACTTGAGTGTGCAACCTCAATTATAACATACAGGATCTTTAAGCTTTAT